AGTTTGAACATTTCACACTACGCAGATTCAACGTTTTGTTACAAGTACCTTTTTGCGCAAATTAACATGGAAAACCCTAACATTTGGGAACATTTAAATTCAATTAGGGAGGATTATATTTTGTCTAAGGTTTTAATATAATGCTTATTCGCACTTAACCCTTTAAACGGATGATAAGGTGGCACTTTTGCCATTCCCAATCAACACGGCTTAACTAAGTAACATTTCATGTATTTCTCTATACTTTTCGTCAGACAAAGGGATATTTCAAGGAATATTCGTACGGCGTAAGGGTCTACAGTTACATACATTGTCATTCATAATGCAATAGAGTTGCTTTGTTTATTTATGTAGCGCCTATGTAGGGAATAGCTGTGCCAGCAGCTTTCAAGGAAATATTTTACTAAAACATATTCCTTGCACTATTATGAATGGCTCGCCTCAAAAGAACATTATATGAATATGATGATACTCGTGCTTTTGCCAAACGACTTGAAACTACGTTCCATATCACCGCATTGAAATAAAACTGAATTTCATCATTTCAGTTGGAAGTCGTAGTAATTTTCAGTCACAGTGTGTAATGTAAAATGCGAATTACCTCTGCTGATTCACAAAAGTCCCAAAATGTAGAGACTGTCTATATCCTGGGTTAAGCTTAAATTTGATCTATTTTCTTGCGGCGTGTCTTCGCTTTGCGGCTGAGTTACAGACAAATTACTGCGGGTAATGATAAAATATCTGGCACTTCTTGGTCAGTATAGCTTCCATTACAGAATGAGACAATGGATATGAGTCACGTTCTAAGGAAATCATTTACATTTACAAAAACATTAAATATGCTATTACATAAAGGATAAACATATATGTTACGGATTATATCCAGCACCCATTCCAGGCTTTGTAATTCATTAAACTACAACAATATCCGGGAGATTTTCCCTAACCCGGAACGCATTAATAAATTAGGTCCCAATTTGGCAAGTTGCTGTAAAGCAAGGATAAATTAATCATGCCGAAAGTCGTCTAGGGACAACACTGAAAAATTATAAAGTTCCATTATAAGTTTAATAATTCCTTGATAGTGATATATCCTGGAATTATGATATAAAATTTCATTTCGTTTCTGGCTATCTAAAAAATGAATCTGAAAGTTGACTATATTAATAAGCGGAAATGTCGCCCTAAGCATAAAGCAAGCATCTGCTGGAATTAATTTTATTTAAAATTGCAATGGAACTTTAATGGTAAATGTTTTTTTTTTCGTTTCATTAGCAGTAAAACCTTACGACCACAATATCCTTTTAAAGCTTCCGATATACACCTACACATGGCTCAAATACGCTGCATCACCATCGTATAATCCACAATAGTCCAATAATGTTTTAATACACCATAATAATATATTGAATGAACTCTGTTTAGTTCACTTATTTGCCATTTTTACCTTCGACCAGCGGTGATTAATGACTACAACTCTTTTGGCATTTTTCAATATGTGTGAGGTGTCATTAATTGTACATTCTAATGGACAATAGTAGCCGGTAACAGTGTAGTTTACTGGTGGAAGATATTTGCGTGGTAATTAGCTCTATGTACTGGCACGAGCTTAGTTCGGTTTAGATCTGCAGTTTTATCCGCTGGTGAAAGCAAATTTACAGTGTGAGCTTTACATAAATTTCCAAGTTTAAGCACGATTTCCCTTACCTGGGTTCGGTAAAGTTAGAATAAATCAATATAGATTTTGTCATTTTTCCTGTTTGCAGAATATGAAATACGATGTTACAGGATAAAAAATCGAGATAATTAATAATTTTATCACGATAAAAATCTAATTTCCACCCGAAGCCAAAGCGTTATTTAAGACCTCGGCGCTCCCATAATTCTGCCACCGCTCCAACATAGGATCTACCAATATTTTTTATATATGTTATGAAATCGTTCTTAGGTATCGATTTTTCTGGCATGAAGCAGCGAACATAAGCCAGTTTCCAACAGCATGGATTTTGCATGCATGGCAATAAAACTGCAACATAAAACGGCACAAATATTATTTATTCTAATAAAACTATTTCATGGATCTTAGATGAATTTGCTATAGTACCACAGAATGGCAATTCGATTAAACAATTTCCCCGACTCATTAAACTTCGCTCTAAATTAAAAACTTTATTTCGCTAAATTTGCTCGAAAAATTATTATGTTTTAAATTCTTCGAAGTTTTAATAAACAAAGTTTAGATTAATTATGTAATTGGCTTTTTTAAATGTTCGCAAAACTCAGCGTTCACTTGATATGCGAGTTATTTAAAATAAATTTCCCCAAAGTTTCGGTATGTTCTATATCGGCTGACTTTTTTAATTATATTAATGAGTGGTTCTAAATAATGCATGGTGGTTACTCGCTCATCTAGAAGTTTGTCACATTGGAAAGTTTTCACAGTTAAATGAAATAGGCTAAATGACCTAAAACGTTTATTCTCCAGTGAGATCGTTAATAATCTCACAGCATAAAATGAAAGCAAGACGTGCATGGTTTCCAGCAATACAGTATAAATTGGATATTAATCTTTGATGTTACAAATGTCGGGCAATAACTTTGTTGCATCTTCGCTATTCAGAGGCCATAAATGGAAATTGATCAAAGATTACTTGGTTTTTAAGTTTTCCAATGGTGCTGAATTATCAAAAGCAGTCCAACAAATTTACAATAGAGCTGCTGGCTACTGCTCTACACAATTAGATAAGCCATCGAAAGCAGAGTTCGCTTTTGAAACAGGTTCGCGAATTATAAATATCGTAGCCAACATCAGTTTATTAAAGTTTAAAATTGGATACAAGGCGAAATAAGTTTTTCCTAGTTTCCATCTTCATTATCCTTCAGACGTTTCTCCATATACACGCTCTAGAAATTACGACGCCCCAAAATTGCTAATTTGTAAGGCGTCAGTCGACCGCAAAAACTCGTTAGCAATTATTTCATCAGGTGCTCATAAATCATTAGGCAACAATGCGAACAAAAGACCTGTAACTCACTTAACAAAACGCTGAAAGAATAATGAAAAGAGAACGTCATTTATGTAATGCTTGAATTAGACATTGTTTGTCTCAATACAATCAATTTATTTGTGGTGTTATGTTTATAGATTGTTATGTCATTATGTGCCGAACCTGCATGTGTATCCAGGGTTGTCAATTTAGTGTTTATGAAATAACATAAATAACGATTCATGTCAATGTAATAGGCGATAATTCCATATTGATTGAGGACTGTTTCCTATTAGATATTTACGTTATAAATTCGAGGAGTTCGTCCATTAAACTCTTGCTAAAGACATAGCCACGGGTTTAACCTGATGATAATGACATGTTTTACTACACATGCGATAACTAGGTGGAGATTAAAGATAAGTGACAATACCCCTTTTAGCAAAAATGAAATTCAGTAGCTAAGGTGGAGCGTCGGCTGCGGAATATTTTGCTACAGGAGAAATTCTACGCTCCAGCTCACTAAACTTTTATTAACGCTATTCTACTTCAGGCATTCCCTTTAAATTGCATATGACGGTAAATTGATTTGACGTCTAAGTATAAACATTTAAATATGCAATCTCAGCCATTTACAGTTGACCTAATATATATTTTGCCTGCTATCGATTTATCTAAATAATTCCAGTTAAATTTGAAAATACTTAAGAGCGTCTTTAATCGGATTCGCTAACGATCCCATGTATACCAGCCGGTAAAGGCATTACTTCATTATAAGATTACATTGTACATAATGATGCATTATTATTAATGTCCCTCTGTGCGCTTTATCTTTCTCAATTTTCCAAACTGCACTTCGTAAAAATGACTCAAGATTAAAAGGTCGGATGAAAACCCATTTAGAATGCGTTACTCATGTTAACAAGGAACATTTTCAACTCGTAGTTGCGGAGGGTCTAAATTAAAGCTGGTGAGGTGTCAGGTTTAATAAGACGTGTAAACTTCTTGAGCAATTTGTTCGATGATATATAGTAAAACTACCGCGTCAACCAGGATATTTCGTTTTATATTCCAGACTAATTGCCAATTGAAGCAATTTTTAAGCTGGTCAATATATAATTTTCTCTACCACTCCCAAGTCGACAAAAAGCAAATATATATTTTGCTTAAAACTTCAAGAAAGTTTCCATTGACAGTAACCCAAGTTTTGCAAAGCGAATGAATTTCCATTTAAAGTTTGTAAATAAATAAATAGGCGAGGCTCATAATACCATAAAACCAATCCCGAAATATACCAACTTAAGTCCCTTCTGAATTTCAGTTCTAGGCTAATGCTGCAGACGTAGCAAGCCAGAAGTAAATAGTTTCACATAAACCCCAATGCAAAGAAAAGGTAATAAACTTGACTATAAACGCTGACTGGGCAGCAACGACACCTAGCGACCAAGGGTTTGAGTGCAAAAATTTCCGTCCTGACTCTGGATTTAACGATTTTCCTAAAGACACTGAAGTAGTTGAGAAATTTCTCCATAGATTCACTGACCGGATATTGGAGCTTAAGGACTTAAAAATGAATTATTTTTAACTGTTACCTATCTTTGTTTAAATAGTTACTAACTCATTGGGCTCCTTTGATTCGCAGTCTGCTGTTTTCAATTCGATTTAATAAACTATTACATACTTGGAAACAACGTTTCCTATTTTGCAACAAAGACAATTAAGTGAAACTATGCATGTTATTTATAAAGTCGTCCTTTGTTGAAAGGGTTTGAGGAACTCATGCACAAAGCTTTGAGCCTTGTCGCCGAATTCCCCAAAATTATCTAGAAACGCATTTTCTAGGCAGTTTATTTTGGAATATATGTGGAATGTTGAAATTGCCAGCAAGGGATCCCATTTAATTTTTCAAATGGACGTTATTTTATTAGAAAAATCCTGAGGTCTTAACATCTTTTAACGCGATTCGGCTGGCTACCAATGCAAAGAGTTTCAAAGTATTTTTTTTTGTTTCAGAGCACCATCACATTTTCGTTGGAGACCTTAGTCCAGAAATAGAAACTCAGACGCTCCGAGACGCTTTTGCAGCTTTCGGGGAAATTTCGTACGTATTGCGTTTCCACTTTGAGTTATTACACTGTTAACTTGAGCGATGTTTAACATTTCCTGGGATATTTCGAGGGGGCCAGTTTTCCAGTTTTTATGCACATTAATGCGTGACCACAAGTTATAAAAACGGTTCCAATATCAAAAACGCGAACCTAAGGTATGAACAATTAGGGTGTTGACTTCCAATTAGTTCTGTTGATTATGCGCTCGATCTCCATTTTATGACCCCTGTCACGCCAACTATTACTTGACAAATCTCTCTGTTCCTTTTTAGATTATTAGTCATTAACTATTTGGATAAAGGAACACGAAATTTCAAGTGAAACTTCAGTGTGTACAATAAATAATCACTAATCGAAGATTTGTACTTCGATTAATCGAGAAATTCCTCTTGGAATAATTGAAATCACTGCCAAAGGCTTTCAGATCTTGAACGAGAAGACCCATTTTTTGGGAAAATTTCTTTTTACTAATATGTGCGCTTTATTTCTTCATTTCATTGTTACAGCCGTTAATGCATTCAATTTGAGTTATCCTATCTGCCTTCGCTGTCTAAAAATTTATCATTCTCTTTCAGCGATTGTCGCGTAGTTCGAGATCCTCAAACTTTGAAATCAAAAGGATATGGATTTGTATCATTTATAAAGAAGGGGGTAAGTAGCATGTGAAGGCATTTAATCCACTATCCACACATCCATAAAATGTATGCTCCTACAGCCCAATTTGTAAAGTAATAAATCAAGTCATTGAACATTTTATTCAACAAAGAGACAACAATTTGATTAGATGTGATTTGATTTAACGCCGAGAAAAATAGATGTGTTTTGCTATTCAGGAAGCCGAAAGTGCTATCGCAGCAATGAACGGACAATGGTTGGGAAACCGCAGCATCAGGACCAATTGGGCAACTCGTAAACCACCAACTGCCAAAAACGAAGGTAAAATGTTCATTTTGTAGCCGTTGTTCCTCTTGACATGGACGGGTTTTATTTTATGTGGCAGCTGAAAAACTTCTTTGAGCCGCTCCCTATTCAGAAGGGGCATTCTACATATTAATGTCGGTCGAATAACAAAGTACCACTTTCACAACTTCTAATGTAATATCCTGTAATAATGCGATACTCATTCGTTTTGGTCCAGCTTTTTCGGGTCCCTGGAGAGCAACTGAGATTGAACAAAAAGGGGAAGTCAAATTGAATGGGGACAAATAAGTAAAATTTTAATATTACTTTGAGCCTGGCAGCTAACACAACAACTCAATTAGACTTGCTGGACCTTTCTATATAACCTTTTCTAGGTACAAAATTTATGGCGGTCTGTAAACACAGTGCTAGCAAATGTTATATGGTCCGAGGAATTACCCTTAGGATTCTTGATGTAGGTAATGTTACAAAATTCATGCCCCCGAGGAATTTTCCACTACAAACTTTTACGCAATTTCCCTGGCATAATGCCGGGACACAGTGGTCCGCAAAGCATGGATCTGAGGCAATATCTAAAATTTATCGTCTTCCGGGAAGCGAAAAATAGATTGAAAGTACGAGCTTTCCGGTTTTAATTTGATTCCTATGTTCGAGAGTAGACCAGGTTTGAAATAGTTAATCCGGCTCCGGTTTGAAATAAAAATTGATAATGTTATTGTGATTAATTTCAGCATCAAAACCTTTGACTTTTGACGAAGTATACAATCAAAGTAGTCCAACAAATTGCACCGTATACTGTGGAGGCATCACAAACGGCTTGACCGAAGAACTGATGCAGAAGACTTTCGCTCCATTCGGGACCATTCAGGAGATTAGAGTTTTTAAAGAGAAAGGCTATGCTTTTGTTAGGTAACTTCGGTCAACTATTAAAAAGCGAATATTAAAAAAACCTTTTCTTCCAGATTTTCCACAAAAGAATCCGCCACCCATGCCATTGTCGCAGTGCATAACACAGACATCAACGGTCAAGTTGTCAAATGCTCATGGGGCAAAGAATCAGGGGATCCAAATAATGCTCCAACTGCCAGTCAAGTAAGTTGAACTTCCAAACCAGCCCTGATTGAGTTAATACAATTTATCCACCGTCTTAGACTATATCAGGAACGAGCTTTCCATACGGCACTTACGGGCAACAGTTGGGATACTGGTATCCGCAAAGCTACACTACAGCAAGTGCATCTCAAATGCCAGCAGGACAATTTATAGGTGGGATGCAGGGATATGCCTATGGACCGATCGGTGGCTATCAATCTCCTTCATATGCGATGGGGTATGTACAGTTTCCATTGAAATGGAATAAGGTTTTCTAATTTTCCTTTTAACCCATTTTCCAAACGTTGCCTTAGTATGGGATTGCAAGTCCCAACTGCTGCAACATCCTGGCAAAGCATTCCAGCTCCTTCTCAACTCCCAACAACTCCGCAGCAGATGGCTACGCCAACAACAACGTTGCAGCAACCAGGAATAGTATTTCCAATTCAACAATATCAAGTAAGTAATCAAATATTTTACTACAATTCATCAGCAATAGCCATTTAATTTATTTTTGCTACTTCTGGAATGCTTTCTTTTAAGCATTGCTTAGATAGGTATACGATATTCCCTACAATTTTACGCTGAGAAGTAGTGTTCCTTAAATCGCCCAGTGACTTTCAGTTATTAGTAAAATGTGCTGATGTTCGAATATGAATTTTCTAGCACTTAAATTGCTGACTTCCCAGACAGTGGAATTTGATTATCTCTGATGCATCTAGAAAATAAGAATGGCAAGTATTTTATTTGTGCATTACCAGTTATATTGATCATTGGGTTTGGATTACGTGTTTGTTACTTTGCATTTACTTATATGCATACGTGATTTAGGACATTTTGCAAATGAACGTGCCGTTATTCGATTTCAACGCGACAAATTAAAACTATTAAACAGAATAATCTTGAAACCGCTGAAGAAGTTACCTAATGTATAAGCCAACGTTGTGGTAGTTCTGGAAATTTTACATTATGGCCAAATCATAAAACTGGCTTGAAGCATTTACACAAGTTTTACCCTGCATCCGCCCTTTCCCTACAGACCGCCAAATAAAACTTGTATGTTTAAAGAACAAAAAATCAAACCTGTAAAAATGTCTATTTGAGCCAGAAGCTCAGCCAAATGGAATATCTATATCTCTTTCACTTTATTTTTAATTTACGAAGATATTAGATGGATATTCAAAATCCTGTTTATGGCCATTGCATGACTCAGCTTTCGCTTAGAATGAATGACGTAATTACCATTTTTTATATTAAATGTTGTATATTTATGAAGCACGGTAACTCATCGTACTCCTGTAGAATGCTTGTGTATAAATATTTTATTCTATTAAATTGCAAGACGTTGCTTAAATATTGATATATTTTTCCATTGCAGGCCCAATGAAACATAGATTCTTAACACGTAAATACGACAGAGCATTAATATTTAGCGATTTAATGCTATTCAATCTCATTCTGTGCCAAATTGCGATACATTTTATATTGTCGACTTCTTATGATGGAAATTATGAGGACTAAAGGTCATCTATAAATATTTATTTTTTTTTAATTGTGCCTCGAATTAAGCTGTTTCGTAAAATTTAAGCAACATTTTAATGAAGTGTTACCAAGCAGTCCAGGAGATAATAATTTTAATAATAAAATGAGAATAACGAATAATTGTTTGTGAGATTGAGTGTTTGTTGTGTTTGTTGCTATATGTAATAAAATCTGCCGAAAGTCCAGAGAAATATTCGAAAACATTTGTTCCAAATCATTTTAACGATCCATTAAACAGAATCAGTTTAATGGAAACAAGTTGTTAATAACGGTCTATTTGCTTTTCTGTTTTTAATTAATTTACAAATAACTTTCAAAATAGGCAGATTATTAATACATAATATGGCTAGTTTTCCACTTGCTTTGGCAAATTAGATTAATCTGCACACTGACGTGTACGTGCATAAATAAAATTTTTTAACAGTTGGCTGAAGATACCGAATGGTTGACACCTCTTCTGGTATGAATTTAACATATGCAGCATTAGGGAAAATGTTCGAGGATAATTTGAGAAAGTTGCGTCAGAGTAACCTTTAGCCCTCAAATTTCCGACTTTCTCTTTTCCTATGATGTGGATCAAATTGGTCTTAGACCGTGAAAATGACCCGTGGATTCATACTTCGAAGGCTATTCTTGTAACCAACTAAAAGTGATAATTTAGGGTTGATTTTGAGATGTACAAATACAATTAGTGTAAATGTGAAGTAGATAGGATAAATAAATATTTATATATAATAAATTATATTTATATGTATTTCCTACAGTAATAGCCTGTTATCATCTATTAAAAATAATGGGCTATTGCCATACGGTTTATGTAAGTAGGTTAAGCTAAACGAAAATCAATGTACAGATAATATCTAATTGTAAATAAAACCAAATATCGAACGCAAGTACCCAAAACAACCAAAAAAAAAATAGTTTTTGTAAGTGTGACTTATAGATGGAGCTTTGAAAAAGAAAAACGAAAAATAAGTGATAAAAATATAAATCTAACGTGATACTTAGAAATTTTATATAAAGCACTTATTTCAACAGAGGGCAAATTTTGATACCAAATATAGAAATATGACTCTAAAATTAGAGTTACCATTTAATAGGTATTTTTAGACAAATATAGTGCGAATTACAATTGAATACATGGATAAAGTGTAGGATATTCGTTTGCCGCAACAAGACCAGGCCCACTATATCCCAATTTTGGTCCAAAACTGCCCTAGCTGATGTTGTTTTACGGTTTCAGGGACCCACTGGACGCACGTTTAATGCGAAAACGGTATATTTTGTTTCCCATTTACTTACATTTGCATTTTCCCATTTGCGTACATCTTGCCCATGAGAATCAGACAATCTTCTAACTACATTTATGCGATTCACTCGTTTACATTCTCAGTTTCAAAATTCAATAATGTTTTCGAACTAGGGGATCTATATGTAGAAGTAAATAAAGCTCGAAATTGGTAGAATTAACGTTACGTTAATGACAGCAAATATGTTGTTGGCCGTATCTGCTCCATACTCTTTATCATCTCATTCAGTATGCAACGAAGTGAACTTGCTCTAAAAATGTTAAGTTCATATTGTTTGCAAGTGAATTACGACCCAAGTTGATATACATAGTTGGTTCTATGCATTTCTCCCTAATGACTACAAGGCCGAGCTTCCTGAATCCATGTATTCAATTTTAGTTTAAGGCTCGTTGGAATGAATTAAGTTTTTGTGCAATATTTTGAAGTTGTTGTTTTTGTTTAGGCTATTATAAATATATTATACGGTATGAGGTGTTCCACTAGCTGTTATCTTACTTCATCGTTTTGTGGTCTGTTTCCCAATGTTCTGAAAATTTGCTTCAGGACATCGTAGCGGTAACTAAATGGGATACCTTATATGTAGTGTCGTTGTTGGTTGAAAGTTGACAAGAACTCGGCGAGAAAGCTGACTTACTTTGTTATCTTTTCCTAGTGAAATTTAATCATAACTTCAAAGTTGAATCGTTAACGGACTTATAAGTTCTTCAATTTTCAGCAACGTTTCACGACTTTGATGTTATCAAGCAGTTTGGTATCGTCGTACAAAACACTGTTTACTACATGTGAAGCTTTATTTTTGTTTTAGATGTTAGGTTGTCTAGTATGTACTTACACTGAAAGCCAAACTGCTAGATTTTATTAACCCCTTGGTTAGGTGAATAAAAATATTGTCCCATTTAATGTCAATTGCCCTATATCTGAGTTATTATGGATCGATCAGTATTTCTCAATGTTCGTATATAAATGTCAATTGCACCATATATGTCCGTTGTCTCAAGTGCAGAAAACCGTTAACTAGTGTAGCATGATCAAGAAAATACATATTTTTAGAGACCTTAGTAGCTTTAAGGTTTGAGTGCAATGTATATTAAGCAGTAAGTGTTCGAGTGTGCATATAATACCATAGGATACGATCAACATATATAATAACAACTGAGATATAGAGGTGCATCCATTACAAATTACAAATGGGATAAATAAGTTAGCTATTGATGAAAAATGTATTTGCACGCTTACCCAAATAGCACCATTATATATGACGACTGTATAAATGTTAATTGTAAAAGAATCACTAAAAGTAATATAAACATATACCACAACTGATTGTTTCATTTCAAGACTTCCGCCTTTATTTTCTACAGTCACGTTGAACTTTTAAAACCTATTCCTTTAATTTAATTGATAAAGTCATTTCAATTAAACTAAATTTAATTAGCAACATTTTAATTAACAAAAATATGAAAATAATTAATTACCTGGAATCTGCGACCGCACATATTTACGGCAAGTTTAAAAGTAGGCCAGAAAAGCCTCTGAAAAGTTTCTGCCTTAGTTACATGCCGATACCCATCAAAGAGTAATTCTGCGTGGCGCCACCACACGAAGTCTGTACATTGATATTCTCGAATTTGGATCAATAACTTTTAGCTGCTCCACCTGTAAGTCATCTAGAAAATCTAGAAAATTGATTGTCTAAAGAGCCTGAAATATTCCGATAACTTTGTAACCTTTCGAATGATTTACTAGTACAAGTAGAACGCCAGCTAGTTAAAAATTTTGCAACGACAATTTTTATTGATAGTAGTTCTTCTAGTGTAACTTATTTCCGATTGTATTCCTTCACACTCTGGTGGAAAAATGTTCAGAAACGAATCGAGTTTAAAGATCTAGTAAAACTGCAATTTAGTGAGCTTCGCCAGTTTATTACCACATATATTGAGATCTTCTGTGTTTTCACATTTTATCAAATTTCGCATTTTCCTAATAAGGATGCCGTTCTAGTGGTCCCAAATTACTTCAGTATTTTTTCATGATAGTACAGTGAACATCCTTTGCGGCTTCAAATGCAAAACAACCGAATCAAACGATTAGTTTATATTTAAACAGTTAATCAATGTGTACTTTATAACGGGATCCTTATTATGCCAGTTACAATTAACTCTACAGTCTACATTACCCTGCTCGCTATTTTACATGTTACCATAATTATTTGAGGAAAACCTTAAATTTATTAGCGCCCGAATTCATTACATTAGTAAATGTATATCTGCCTTAAACAGATGAATATATGTGAATAATCATTTGAACTACTTTCCTAAAATATAAATGTACTACTTTATTGCTTTCAATTTGGAGTATATTGGAATTAATGGTGAAATATTTTGCTTAATGAATTTGCAGTGTTATGCCACGTCCAGTCCGAACGAGCCGAGCCTGAACCGAGCCTCATCTGCGGCAAACTCCTTTGATGATTGGTCAAAGCACCGACAGAAATCATAATATGTTTTACGTTTTGACGAAACATAAAAAAAATTTCCCAGCGGTTTAGGCTCGGTTCATCGGTTCTTAGAGACAACGGTACTCAAAGCTCATCCTATCAATAAGAGGTAAACCCGTGGCCTTAAATGTATTTTCTGGCTTAAATAACACTTAAAACTCGTTATGGGAACTGACAGACAATTTTACAATCGACCACTGCAAACATATTTGACAAAGAGTATTATGATAATCACCTACCCACAAGCTCATGTGGGTTGCAAAATTGTCTATCGTTTCTTTAAGGTGAACAATAGTTATTTTTCAGTATGGAACAATGCTGAAAGGCAAACGTGTCGTAAGGGTGCTATTTGACTATTTTAATTTGTTTAATTTTCTGATAGTGATTTTAAGGATATAATTACAATATTTTAAATATGGTTAACTAACTTTATTAAGCGCATAATATGCTATGTTCTAAAAAAAGTTTGATCTAACGAAATGGTGTTTCCAAGCACACAACAATGGAGACAGAGAGCTTGATGAGATTTTTCACCAATCTCTAGTCTTTCCCACGTTTTCCCAAAAGTCTGCTTACTGATAAAAGTGAAAAATAAATATATCAAGAATTTTTACCTAATATTACCAAAAACTGTTTTTTTTTAGGCTAGTACTATGAAACCTATAGGTATATGGAACACTATATATATCTATATAATTGCACAACCAAGATAATGCAAGGCATCACATGTAAAAACTGCTTGGCTCTCTTTGAAAGTAATACCCTGTGTTCCTAATTTGCAAAAATTGTTGAAATCCAGCTACTTTAAAAGGAATATTTGACGGACTTGCTGAAATTTTAACTCCACTTGTAGTGTATTAGAACCGCAGTGATATAATACATCTTGCCATCTTGGTTATACGCTAATCTAGGTAACAAGATTCTAACTACAATCTATAACATGGTCTATAATAATTAGCAGATACTTTAAATGAATTGAGCGAATTTAGAATTGCACATTTTCTTGTGAATAATCGACCTTTTTATGTTGCCATAAGAACATTTGCTGTCACTAACCGTGCATGTTTAAAGAAAAACGTTTCAGCAAATATGAAACTACAAACTCGCCTAATTTTTATTTTTAGCTAATGTTCATCATTTAACAACTACACTGAACGTTGCCAAGAAATTTTCAGAGTTAATCAGTGAACCACAGTACGATTTATGAGGCTGAAGTTAAAGTGAAGAAATATTGTTATTAAAATGAACTCACTAATTCCCGACAACCTCAGCGAGCTTAAAATTTGAAAATTCAACGAATCGGTAAATTATCTAGTCTGGCAGTTAAATCGTTATATAATAATCCGTTGAATGACATATCAGTCATTCTAAAAGTAATTAAGTTTGATTTTTTTTTTGATTGGAAGAACTTTATGGCTGGAAATGTTTCGTTCTTTAAATATTGCTACCTGCAATATGTAAATTTTTCTGCTTACAACAGTTGGTTTGGTGTTTTCATGCATAGGATCAGGAATAGTTAGGGTGAATACTCTAAAGTTATAATAAACTCTCAAAAATTAAAGTACACGCAAAATACGAAAACTAAAAGCCTCCAGCAACAATGAGCTAATTTAACTCGAACTTGTGGGCGCTATGGCGATATCATATTAACTTTAAACTTTGTTTCTCTCTAAACTAGAAAAATGGACCCATATTAAAATTTTATTGACTTTACTTAACAAGGCTTTCGCTTTGGTAATAAATTTTGTTTGGACGATATTTTTCTATTCTAACTGAATACTAAATACTTTTTTTCCTTAGTAATCTCTTTTCTTCATTTGGTTTTGTTTGCTTATGTCAGAGGTAGTTAGGCGGGGCTGCGCAACAGAATAGGTCCATGTGCTTGTATATAAAATTTCTTTGTTTCTTGGTCCACTGGTTTGACACATCTTCGTTCAATGCTGATGGTTTTTCTATAACAGCTAGATATTTTCAAAAATTCCATTTGCTTAAGCCAACTTACCTAAATTGTTTTCTTGCTTTGGCATGTACTCTCCAATTTCTTTAAGAATATTTGCTATTTCCTCGGAGTCTTTAATGATACTGCACAACTCCTCATGGTTGAAATCTGGAGTTATCTGCTTGCATAGCAGGATTTGACTAATAACGTTTCCCAAGTTGGAAGGTCCAGCTCTATTATCTGAAAGAATTCATGGCCCAATTTTTTACTAATCATGCGGTCTGGTTGTGGTAAAAAATTACCATAGTAGCCAGACATGTCCATGGGAACAACCTGAACCAGTTTATGTGATTTTCGCAGTTCTCTATGAAATAGCTGAGCCATAAAATAAAGCATAACCAGATTCTGGTTATCAGCTGGTATACCTTCATCCATTGCACTAAAAGGAAAAATCAAATAACGAAGTCGTAATCATTATTCATGAGTTGTTGACTTGGAATTTCATATACATTTATGGAAAATGAAGCAGGAATGTATTTACAATGTCCATTCTACGATATTAAAGTCGTCGAATAAAAATTGCTTTGAGCTTTTTTGCATCCTGAAAGGTTTGCTTTTAGGGAACTTTATTATTGAAAAATTGCTCCCTATTATCCGGCAAGTCGCTCAGTTCTTTTCCTTTTGCCCAAATATAATCCAGCTGTTCTCAAGTATTTTTATGGTTCTTCCCCTTTTTCTTCACAACTTTAATATAGATAATTTTCAGTTGATTATTGGAAAGTTCTCTGTAACTAAATTTGTATTTTATTGCTCCACCACTCCACTTGCTTTCATCAGAGTTACGCCTTGCAGTTTTTTAAATTAATTAAAAATAGCTCTCCAATTAAATGGTTTCCAGCCTTAACAAGAGGTTTTGTGCAGCTCTTGGAAATAAATGGAAAAATTCCAGTGGAAGAAATTCAATTACCGAAAGCGGGTTGTTAAATTTATTGTTGTATATATGTTACAATTATGAAGCCCCATTTCAACCCTCCGTGTACACTGGATCGCCTACGGCCAGTTCCAGTTTCCATATAACCAACCGCGTGTTTTCGATCTCTCCTCCCCTTTGTCTAAATCATTATTATATGCAATTCTTTCTTTCCAGTTCGTAGCGTTCCTTCCCTGTCTCAAACAACTTAATGGTAAATCATTATTTCAATGCATAGACGAGGACATTGCTGATGCGGAGAGTTTACAAATTATGATTTCATCTCGTTCTTTTATTAAAAATTTAAAAATAATAATGGTGAAATTTGTGGAGTTTCAAAGTCCAACTTCAAAAATATAGGATTTTTGCTTGAAAAAACCTGTCAGTATTTTACAAAGAGAAATCAGGTCGATTTGATAAACCCGATAGCATTAACATTATGTTTGAGAGCAAAGGGCTTTTACTTGCACCGAAAGCGCTAATTGATAAAGCCGATTTTATGGCGCATTTTAAATCAATTTGAGACTGTCAATCCTCTAAATCATAACATGGATTAATCGCACTAACTGAAAATAAAAGCGTTACTCGCCACTGAGACGACTTTAAAAATTTACTGTTAACTGAAATAGAATCTCATTCAGTTCGCTGAAAGTTTCTAGAAAAATGCATTTTATATCCAGTGAAAAGTTTGTTGAAAAGAATAACAATAAAACCAACGCAGAAAATTATATAACAGCTGCCTATTTGAAAAGTTTGCTGGGTCTGCTGCATAAAATTAAAGTTTGCGGTTACTTCCGTTACCGACATGGAAATGTTCGCGTAAAATCTACTGTTTGAACATTTTACATTTGAATCTATCATTCTCAGCATGTTTTATTTGGAGCAATCGCGAGCATGCAGCAGAAAAAAACAGAAACGGGAAATTAAAACCGGTCAAAGAAATTTTCAATTTAAAGAGTTTTTTACTCATCTGTTGACTGTGGTGGGTTATCCCAAAGCAATGTATTGTTCCCAATATCACTCTACGTCCGGCTTCATAAATACAAAACACTTTTTCCTCATCAAACCTAAACATATTCATTGTTACCTCGCAAACGCTGTTGGATTAATTTCTCGCCACTGCAGTATACACGAGAGCTTTCGCAGGAAGAATGAAACTTGGGATGACCTATTTTGTGTTGTGGATAGAATAGGGAAATTGTCAAGAGTAAATTTCCCATCGTCTATTTTAATGTCGACTTTCTCTACATGCAATGTCGCTACCCATTTGCTCTTTATAGTATATGGAATTAATGTTTCCGATTAGGTTTGCAATCGATGTCGATTTCTAATAAATAAAATGGACGTCTCATGGCTGAAACAATATACAGCTCAGTTACCTTGTTTATTTTGCAATTCTTACACAACGGGAGAACACTCACGTTCAGAGAAATACAAATGGAGTAATTTTTATACTTCGGTATTTCAAAAACATTTTTATACTTTCTCTGCTAACCATTTATCTCCACTTCGTCATTTTGTATTTCTCTCAACATAGAGTGTTACAAATTCGCATGCATTGACCAATTTATCCTTATTTGTTATGCGATAGACCCGGCAAGTACATCAAAAATATGTTGTAAATATCAATAAAAAGTCAAGAACGGAAATCGTTCCTCTCTGCACGATAAGCAAATAAATAACAAACGGTACAAAGTGGTGTATAATGAGGCAAACAGAGTTACTTAGTATTCGCCCAGTTAACCGCAGCAGAGGATCCTTTTAAATGCGAATTAACATTCCAAAACTTGCTTAAAATGCGTCCTGGTTACTTGACCCAATTAAAAAATGATGATTTTTCAACTGGGGAGAAGGCGAGCCACATATTTTTTAAATTTCCTGTTATGAGGTGATTCGGTTCAATTTAGATAACAGCTGGAGAGAAAATCTTGCAGAAAGGTGCCTGTTGTGACTTATTTAATTTAAAACATTAAAAAACAATAGAGTATTCTGCGTCCTTCAAAGCTACAGAAACAGTATCTAAAGGAAGTATATGTGAACATTGTTTTTGAATGCAAGCTGGAAATATTGCATTAGTTTCGCATCAGCGAGCACAGATACTATTCCACCCAAGTTTCGGGCTGTAATCCCACATGTGCTCGTATTACTTTTACCATTTCTATGATTAGATTCCATGAACATTACGAAAACTCCATGAGGAATATCAAGTTTCATACATTACAGTTGAAGTTTCATTTACATGTGAAAATCCGCCTGTAACTTCAGATTTGGATTTGTCTGTCGTGAAAATACACACATAAATATTTATTTGACCCAAGTCTGTGTCTGACAGCTCCAAATAAGGTATTGAATTATATGTAAAATAGCTAGGTTGATGTTCTCGATTAAATCAATAATGAACTAATTCTGATGCATGAGAATTCGGAAATTGATAGAGGAATTAATGAGTATCTATCTATGCATCGATTTTTCTTGAAAACTTCGGTTCAAAAAACGAAAATCATATTCAGGCAGGAAGTGAAGAGTCAGCATTGTGCCATCGATCATTTGCAGACGTTGTTTGTCTACGGCCTGAGAGTCAGGATACAGGGTGATTTACGTTGACCGTGCATTAGAAGTTTTCCAACTTACAGTTGTTATGGAAACTTCAAATTTTGCCAAATTTCCGGTAATAGCGGGTTGTGCCGAAACCTATGTGAAATACATTCAGCCCTCCAGCAGACTCCCCATTTTTAGCATGGTTGGATTGGCTATCGAATTGCGAGGCTCAGCCACCCTAGTTTTGTTAATTTTTAGGACCTTATTTTTTCGTTTCTAAAACAACTGCAAGTTGGAAAAATTTCAATAGACGGTCTACGTAAATCACCCTGTATAGTTAGTTTATTTGGTCCTCCTATATGAAAATGGAACAGCTCTATTTATAGCCACATAAAAAGGATAATGCAGAGGACAGCTGGAAACAAAATATCGTTTTATAATCTGTAACTTAACATTGTAGTCGAATGTCATTTAGTGTATTATATATGGATTTCGTTGGCTTGCTAATTCATAATCCATACCAAGATAAAGTAAATAATTTACACATATTTCTGGAATGTTGTCATAATACTGATCTTTGCTGAAACTTCAATAATCTAAACATTTCGAGACAATTAAAGTAAATGATGAAATAAATTAAAGAACAGGAAAAATTGAGCGTCGTAGCAAAGTTGTATTAATTTCGAAGTTTGCTGCTATAATGTCTGCACAAACCTAAAATGAGTCTTCGCAAGTTGATTGGAGAATTTCTGGAAGTTTCATTGTTATAACTGATATTTTACAAGCTGGGACCTTTTCAACAAAAGCAATTAGTAATAAATTGAGTTATTCACGCTCCCCGGTGTTGCTAAAGAGCTGAGACGGTTATTGAATGATGTTTGTTTTTGCTCCCAAGTCCAAAAGGTCCCCAAAATAATTATCATCTAAGAAAGAAAGAATGAAATTAGCTTAAGTACTCCTACCGATTTTGCTACGCTGTAAGTAAGCTGTATGGTGTATGATAATTAATTTAATTTTTATGGTAGTTTTTTTTAAGTTGTAAGCCTCCAACGAGCACATTTTCCTTTTGAATAAAACAATCTATAAATATTGAAAGTGAAAAAAAGTTATTAGGTTTTCGTGACCTCAACAGTCATTACATACCGAATGTATAATTTAAGAGTTCATACGCAGAAAATTGTGAAACTCATCAAACAAACTGAAGTATCTCTCATGAAACGGCAGGGTTTGCTGAAATATGTGACTATTTAACTCCTCGGGTCGGTTTAATGATAAAATAATATTAACCATCATCCTTGTGGCCAGTAGAAACCTAATGAAGCCACGAATGTTGGAATATAATATACCGTGCATTATCCCTTGATTAAAGCAAACTCTGAATATAAGCCCTACAATTTGAAGTTAAATTTCAAGGAGAAATATCGTGTTAAATAATGTCGTGACTATTGTTTAGTGTCGGTTTAGGTTTTGATTGTTCCGTGAATTCCGAGATAACAGTTCGTATAGAAGTTTCGGCAGGGATGTATCGTCGTAGTTTGCCTATAATATAAATATAAATTACATCCACATCTAAACCCCTTTTCGGGTTTCGGCATTAGAAATTAAACCCCTTATAGTTTAATTGTGTGTATATTACAGTTGCTGGATATTGGATTTGTTGGCTTTAGAATTGAATGTCTGATACTTCAGAGTTGTACAGGAAGTAACGAAGAACATATGCATCTGCTATAGGCTAACCTTTGTATGTGTGGCAAAATGAGTTGACTTGTGGTCTTGCATGCTTCGACGCAGTTTCTCCTCAGTTTTCTAATTCTTTCCCTGTGTTCCGGACAATCCTTCGATTGCCCTATCGAGATTAAAAGGTCCCTGAAGAGCGCAATTTGGGCGTTGATATCCAGCACCAACTGAAACCAACATTATGTTGTTACAATTTTCTAACTTAATTAACATTATTACCGACGCTGAAGTACAGTCCCTTAGCCGACCTACTCATTGAACTCGAAATATTTAAGAGTCTTCTGGGAATTTGCTACCGGAATAAATTTCTCTGTATCCGTTCTATACCTCGTACCCAGATTTATAGAGGCTCCATTTAATTAATGTAAACTGTTCTTAAAATAAGGATTTATGTCAAGAACTTGATTCTCAATCCGCGATACCGCAATTACAAATTTAAGAATCAGGAATAATTCCTTTCACCAGTCTATGCGGTGTATTTCAGGAATGTGAGAAATTGGGCCTTTATTTCAAAAATGGCACGCATTTTCTAGCCTGAAAAGAACTGGCAACAAAGGGAACATAATAAAATGTCCTACGTCAACACTCTATTAGTTAGTAAGCTCTAAAGCGCTTCAGAATGGTTGATTTACACAAATATATTACCCTCGCCGACTTTATAGTGCCATTTTTCTGTTTGGATTGGTTGATTATAATGTTTTCTGTTGATCATTCAATGGTAAACGGAAGTAATGGCTACGAGTCGTAGCTATTAATGTCGGAGGCAAATGTTCCGTTTGTTTACTCCGTCGTTTAAAAATCCGAAAGTTCATCGGAACGCTCTTTCAGATTGTGATTTAAATTGCCTCAGTTGTGTTGAAAGCCGTAAATTTGTTTTTGTAGTCAAATGTTTGAGAAGTAGAAAGAACTGGAACACGTAAAAACTCCGGGAAACTACGAAAGTCTCTTGGCATTTATAATGAATGTCTTTTGCTCTGCCTACATTACCGGAACATTAAATTTTCTACCTGGAGCCCCTGTCGCATTATTCTAAACATACGATTTTGGGAAAGCTAAAGTTTACTTCCCTCGTGCCCACTTACGTCTGGGGAGTTTTTAAATATTCAACATGCATTTCAAAGCTGATGAGATGCTCTTTTTTGAATTTTAAAATAGTCTGTGTAGATTTCGCAAGGAATGCATTTATCGTGATCGTTCCCCCAAAGATTCCATCACATATAAAATAGCGGAATGTTGTAAAATTATTTAAATGCGCCCATACATATTTTATTCAATTCTATTTCATTCTGCCGGATAACGCACTTATTCAATCTGCTACAACGTTCGTGTCAAAAGCTTTCTACAGATTAACATACCACCGAACATTTACAGTAATAATTGCAGTTGCATGTGCCACACCTATAACTACAACCAGCTTGTGTTACTAAATGTTAACTTTCAAAATAAATATATTTGCTTTTAAGGAAGAAAAATTGATTTCGTGATTCCATTATGATGTCAACGGCCTTCGTAATAGCAAAACTGACATGACGTTCTGGCTTTATTAATGTGTTAATCCAATATGTAGCTGCTGTACAAACTGGACTTGCATACGGGAAAATTGGGGTATGCGTAATCAAATTGATATATGACGGGACTCCAACTTCGGCTCAATGTAATTCTGTTCATAGCATTGTAATTTATTTAGATTTTTCGAAACCGGGAAAAAATATGATCGTCATTGTGCTTACAGTTACCCAGTTGCAATATAAATTACTATGTAATGGCCCTACCATTACCAAAGCACAGTCAAGCTGCAGGCTTTAAATGAAATGATATAAAAAGCAAATTACTTTAGTTTACTGGGAGAATTGCTCGGTTACTTCAGCATTTTTCCTTCGGATTTCAAACCGCTCCACTCGATCTACAATAGCGAGTCGATTATTTTTTGTCTCATCCGTCCCTTATTTATATTATCCCATTCCAAATTGTACCTAACTTAAGAGATTTATATTTTGCAGAAGAACGCGAAGCAGCCGTAATTTTATATAAAAGAATGATGAAATTGTATTCACTCCATTTTTTTTCAAATACACAAATGATTTGCAAAAGCAATCCTGGCAAAACTTCTAATCGACTGTCACAGCTGCCGCTCTAAAGAAAGTACGGAAACTCGTTGGTTTTATTTCGGAATATTTTTAAATAATAAACCTTGTTTAATCCCATAAGATACATAAAACGCTTCTCGGATCAGTCGATATTATCCTATAAAAGCTTTGAAGCTTGTGCAACTTTGACGTTGAAATATTAATTCAAATTTTGCTTATTTCGTTCTGTCCAAAATTATCTCAGGCGAACCTAATTATAGGGAATAAAAGCTTTTCTTAATTTCTCAAATTTGAAAGCATCAGGGGTAATTGTTTAGTAGAATTTCCGAGTTTAGAACTGAGAATTGACCCCAGGGCTTAAGGCAGGAAAATTAAATTAAGACAGAACTGACTTTTGGTCCGAACAATATTTAATTAAAGCAAGTCAGAAGAACGACATTATTTGCGTGAAGAAACATGTATGTTGGAACACCCAACATAGCAATAAAAAGGTCACATTTCTACATCGTTTCATTTTTCTTATCAATTTAAATTCACTTTTTTACCTTTTTGCCCTATACCTTTCGCTCTTCTTGTTATTTCAGACATATATTCTCGTAGCAAGTTTCCCTTTATTGTTTCAGTAGCAATTTGTGAAGATGGGAGAGTTATAATTTGATTACTATACCCTATACCCTCAAAGAAACATTCTAAACATTTAAATTTGCGGTGTTCAACCGAAATTGGTAAGATTAGATTATCGACTGATTTAATTAGGCTAAGAGGTTCTGTTACCGTGTAATTTGTCGTATTTTTAAAGGCAAAGGGATAATAAAAGTAATTAGTGGTTAGAATGTTTTGTGCAACAGCAACAAAAAAAATTCTTACTTAAGAGCCTCCAGCCACCATATTTATTGAGCAAAGTAACTCTAAGAATTCTTATCCACACTGTCCCAGTCCAAATTGCCAACAACATTTCAAAATGAGAGATAGATATATTTCAAGAAATTGAGAAAAAGGAGATATGAGCAAAGTTGTGGGGCTTTTACTTAAAACTGAAAATGCCAATATTGGTTCAGGAAGTTTAATTATTAGACGTAGAGGGTTATCTGATTGGACGTAAGCTGGCCGGTAAGAACAGCACAATGGGATCTTATCCTACAGAATGATAAGAAATGAAAAATTACGGTCGTGATATAGTTGAAGATTACCTATTTCTTTGTTCGTTTTTTCGCCGCATTATTTCAGATCTTTTTTTGTTCACGCAATAAATTTCAATTTTTCTCTACCTAATTTATAATAATTTTCGATGCAATATAACCACTATCCATCGATCAACCGGAATTCTCGATATTGATGTTCCGTTATCAAGATAAATCTTTCTGGCACATTTGAAGAATTCGAGTTGGGAGACACCGAATTAGTAATCCCCTAGAAACTAAACAAGAAAATAATTCCAGCGGTCTAATTTATAAGCAAAAACTTTTCCTACTAAATTACTGAAGTTCCGACTTACTAAATAGTCGCCCCAATAATCTGGGGTATTACCTCGAAAAATGAAAGGAAGGCTTTCAGCGTATTTAAATTATCCCTGGAGTGTCAATCCGCAAAGCGGCTTTGCTTGATGATAGGATTTCTTGGATTAAACAAACGGACTTTGAAAAAAAACTTATACATTTTACTGCTTGGGACATTGCGAGCGCTCACTAAAGAAGTTATTGTATGTGGACGAAAAATCGATATGAACCGAAATAATCAGATTTATATAATTTTTCAGGTCTTGAATGTTTGTATCAGTATTCATATTGTGGAAATACACACGGTAGGGGTGAAAGAACGTGGTGGTATTTTCTGAAATGGTTCTTCAGGTGAAAGAATGTAAAAACTCGTATGCATCGAAAAATAAATTCGTCCCATAAATCAAACTGATGTGGCTAAACTACATTTGGCAAAATAGTTATACACTACAATATAAAAGCTGGATAATACAACTACAAACGGAAAATAAACTTTATCACATATTACCCCATTCACAAGAGACTGCAACCGAACAAGCTGAACATAAAGCAAACATAAAAACCTTGGTTTCCAAGCTAAGTAAAATTTAGTTTTATGAAGGAACAAGGCGTTATAACACAAACACTCTCTTTAGGTTTTATATTTTCTATATTATCATGGATAGAACCATGAAATTTGCACTGAATGTCGACAAATCGTTGTCTCATAATTCTATTAAAGAGCGACGAATCAGGGAAAACAGTGTTTTTCTTTTGTCCTTCGAAAGGCGGCTCAATTTCGTCATCAATTAACAATCGCAATGAGTTCTGATATTGCTAAAGAAATATTTGAAATGTAAAACTCTCGTTTGATGCGGTTGCTTTCATCAAATGAAGCAAATGCGTGCAGCTGCATTGCAAACTGAAATATGTACAAATGTTTTATCAACTGTCCGAGAGACTGGTTTCCAAGTTATTTAGAATTTTCAAGGCAGTTAGTTTGTTAACTTGCATTTTCATTTGTTTTCTGCAGTATTTGCCATAATCCCACATACATGAAAGCCGCCATTTCAGTAAATTACTCGGGACCATCCAACTGTTCTCACAATCTACCGTCGCAAGTGGGTTAATCTACCTTCTAATAGACACCCTTAGCGTAATTGTAGTTCGGGTTAGTTTTCTGACAAATAACAACAACATCATGTTTAATGAATATTGATAATCCATTACGGAATGAGTAAATAATTTAATGCTGTCAAGTTCATTTTCCTCGGTCAAATGAAATGTAACAGTCAACTAAAACTTCGAATGCAGACATTATGACCGACCAGTGAAATTGCATTGTTTGTTTGGTTAGTTCAAATTTTTCACTAAATGTGTTTGCCAAGTGCACATTTTAAAATGCATTTTAGTTACACCACAAAATTAATTGTGACAGCACAATGATTGCTGTTGCTTTCTATCAGTGTTTATTTATTTTAAATCGCTAAAATTAATGCAAATACATTTGACAAATGTAGATTCGATTTTTTCGATTTTCGAGATTTAAAGGATTAATTAATTTGGAACTTATTCATGTCCATAAAGGTCTCACGGCCAGAACATGCCAAAATGCAAATGAATTATCAAATATTTCTCTTTTTGTTAACAGTTTTTAACATTGCAAGTAAAGCGGATATAATTTTATTTTAAAATTACGGCCTTCGAATAAACGCTTCAACGCTTCAAAAAACAGTTGACCATTTGTATGCAATTTATTGATTTATGTATTAAAAATTGGACAACTTAAACAATCGAATTTGATTTATTGGGCTTTACAAATAAAATGCTACTAGAAAGCCGCGAATTTATTCTTTTACAATACGCCTTTCAAAAACATCCTACTATTTGACTAAGCGAGTTCCTTCGTGTCAATATTGCAACAGTTTCAGCTGAAGTTCTCTTGAATTAATGTCACGTAACGTTACATAAATTTTCCATATCCTGCGCGGTTCTTACTGCATCCTGGGCAATTATTCTTTTCTACTTTTTTTAAACCCCAACGCTAGAATGATCCTTAAACCGCTAAAAATAGATGATACTCGGTTGAAATGCGGAGATACATCATTTACGCTGTTGGACAGTAATTGCAAAAACGGTTTTCTGGAATTGCCAGCTCTCGGACTTCTAAGATGCTCTTTAATCTTGGAATTTCTCCTTTGTTTAACAAAACACTTGTAAAAACAGCGACAGAAATACTAGCGTTTAAATAGGGCTAGTGTCTACTTTGTGTCACAAATTAAAGTAAAAAGCGATGAATACTAACCAAATTTACCTTGATGGGATCATAGGTGTTAACGGAGCTAACGAAGACTGAAGTCCTTCGCGTGATGAGGGATTTGCAGCCAATGGAGCTGGATCTTCTACCAGCCATCAAAACGGGAAAGATTAGAAATGATCAGTCTGTCAATAATAAAACTTTATTAGTTATTGCGGGAAATGTTTGCGTCTGTATGGATTATGAAAAGGGTCAAGTTGATTCCCATTACTTATGTTTGTATAGAAGTTTTCATTGGCTTATTGGATTCTGCGAATAGTTTTCAGCACTGAATGCAAATCGTAACTACGATAATATCTCAAGTTTACAGTTTAGTAGCTAGTAACTCTTACCACTAAGTATCAGCATAGTTAGAAACGGTCCATTAATTCATGAACCAATATTCAAATGCCTTTGAATAGGCAAGTTTGAAAATAGCTCTCGAAAGCTATTGTCCTTTGAATAATAAGTTCTCTACTATGTTTTTCATTCAGAAAAGCTTGTCCTAATATTTTATTTCTGGGTGCACCAGATTGCACTCAACGGGAACGAACTGCAGCAGCTGAATTTCAATTCGATATTGAAGTCTGTATAAAAAAATCGAATAATTTTATTCACGAACACATCTGCTGCATATGGATTGATTTGAAGAAAATAAAATGTTTGTTACACAGTTTCGAGCACAATCAGGTTGAAGCGACTATTCTGCAATTAGCAAAGAACTAATTATTGATTGAGGCCTGTGCGACAGTGTCTGAATTTGAAGCCGCAAATTGTTTCACAATGCCATTAAAATTCATATGACTTCACATTAAACGATTACAATGGCAGTGAATGGAGTTTCACATAATATATTAATAGATTTTCAGGACATAATTGTTTCAGCCATAAAACGTAAAACTACAATTTTTGACACAAAGAGTATCAATTTAGATATTCATTCGAATTAAACATTGGAACATTTTTAAAGAGAGTTACCTTTTTGAAAAGCGCTCTGCTCCAGGAACATTGTCAATTTCCGCTATTTCTACATCAACAAAAATTTGCCAAGTAATCCAATTTACTTACAGAAGCTATCTTTGCATTTGCAGCACCCCAAAATATGCTTATTAAATCAACATGTCTTTAATTTCCAAATAAATTATATTCAGTTAAAAATACACATTGAAGCCTGCCGTGGAATTAAATAAAATGTATATTCCAACTGAGAGATTTTCCAGTAAACATTTTTAACTTGACCCAGTGCCAGAGGGAAATTTGATGCATTTATGAAAGTTAAGTGTTTTCCACGCTGCCAAAGGACTGAAATTTCAACTTGATAAAACTCCTTGATCGAGACGGTATCGTAAAACTTTGGACTTCGAGGGTTAGAGACGAAGGACCTGTTTAGAAATATTAAATCTGAACTGAACCTGTATTTTCAGGTGGATGATTGTTTACAATTCCCAATTTAGGTTCGAATATCGCTTCTGTAACAACTTCATCCAGGTCTTAGCCGTGAGTCAAACAATTTAATAAACAATTGAACACTTTACAAAGTTTACGTTTGAGTTGTTTTACAGCACTTATTTAAAAGATGTTTGTGAGACCGTTCAATTTCATATTATGATGGAAAGCAATTACATTTTTGACATCATTTAAAAAGTTTTCCCCTCACGTCGTTTCAGAGGGTCTGGTGTGTTTCCTATTTTGAAAGACATTTCAATTTTAATCATTATAAATCATACTTCAAAACTTTTGAGGTTTCGAGAGGCAGACAGCAGCTTGGAGGGGAAATCGTATGGCAAAAGAGTGACGAACGTCGGCTATCTACTTTTTTGTTAAAAGTTATCTTCGAATTCTGCTCGCGAACTTTGCAAATCTTAGGCAATATCCAGGGGCTTAATGGAGTAGCAGCAGGAATTTTATATCACGATTTAGTTGAAGCCGAGTTCGTGTTTACGAAATAATCCCATTTTTGCGGAAACATTCTGCACAAGCTCTGATTCTAAATACTGATATCACTTGAAGCCTTAATTAAAGACGAGTAGTTTAGGGCTAGTTTAAATTCAGGAATCCTGTTAAATTAACACCTCTTCCTTCCATTTCCTCTGCAATTTGCTCTCTGTGAAGCTTTTCCCGAGGACACATTTTTAATTAGCATATTTTTTCAATTTAAATGAGTTAATTAAATATTTCTCGCTTGGCTTATGTCCGTTAATTTAAACGCTTCTAAATTTGAATTCTTCTACACGGAATGATAACGAAGAAAGCATTTGACTTCCGTTTGAAATCGTCAATTTTATTTTTATTTCCATTGGGGTGTAATTTAATTTTAGACATGCATCAATTTTAAAAGGTCAAGAAAATTTGTTTTATTCTCCTTTTGCCTCTAACGTTCTAATGAGATTCGACGAATTTATTCTTGAAAAAATCTCAAATATATTTAGGCGAAGGCGAATATTTTTGTTCAAATAACTGTTATGGCTAAGGTACTGTTTGGAGGTAAGGAAACGCAATGTGTATGATTTATACAATGGCCAACTCCAATATTTCTCAACCACCTATTTCGCTATATTTTCTTACACTCAAACCGATTGGCAATTGGTTGGTTAATATTTAATCGAAGGTGAATGGTGTGAACACCCTTAGGAATAAGCAGACTCGAGAATTTGTTGCCTCTGATACGTAAAACAATAAATATGAACCTTAAGTCAATTTGAAATTGGATTATGGAAAAGTAATTCTGTGTAGGTATTGAGAAGCGGAATTAAAATATATTTATTTTCATAACTTATTAAAACTTTCTATCAGCCTTTTAAAAACTAATCTATTTTGATTGCTAGATTATCTGGTGTACTTGGAAATATAAATTCAAATTTCCAATGAGTTTAACATAAAATCCACATATAATTTCAGCGGATCAGTATGGATCGGGATGATTAAAAATATGGCGTCGGTGAGGCATGTGAAGTAAACCTAATATTGAAATTAATTATTCCAGAGTTTGGCAGTCATGTGCAAATTGATATTTGCAGGTTATTAGATGGGTTTTCAAATTACGTAGTAAATCAAACTCCCGCATAAGGTACTAGAAAATATTTACCTTGATGCGGAGTTTTACCCGTTGGAAAACTTGCTAATTGGATAAATTCCAAATTTCTAGTGTAGGCTTATTGAGTGAAATAAAACACACAATAAGCTAATGTTCTGGAAAAAGTTTGCATTAATCCATACATTCTCCATAATAGTTCACAGTATAATGATTATAAGACCATATATGCAAACAAGCTCCATAAGCTAGAAGGGTTATAAAAGACTGATCGTAACAGCCGTATATGTATAACAGCCAGTCTATGAGCGTCAAATTTGCATATGAAATAAATTTTCAGAGTACGGACATGAAAGTTTCCAGCCAGCAAAAACCGCACCGTTAGGAATACAAATGATTTTATTTAATATTTAAATTCCCCTAAATCTGCACGTAGGACCATCGGCAAACTATGCCATCAAATCTAGTTTGCCAGTCCTGGTTCTAACTTCTAAATAAAATTCGCAACTTCCGAGATTTAAAAGTTTTCTAGAGAAATTGGGCTCCTTGTAAATTGAATCAAACGTCGGTTATGCGATAGTTTCTAAGAAGCTATCAATATTTCACTAGCACTTCGCTGAGAGAAATCGCAAAACTTTTGGACCGGAGATATGCGGGTTCCTCACAACTTTTTATTGGAGTTTTGCAGGCAATCGAATTGGAACGTACACAAGGATTTATTGCTGAAATTCGGGATCGCTCATTTAGACCACTAGCGATCAAACGAGCCCTACTCTTTGAGACCAAAACCAGCTGAAAAATCACTTAATTGTTAAAAGAACTTCTGAGCGATACCAAGATGAGTTAGAATGTTATATATAATTTTGTCATCCTTAAGCCTTCTGAAAAGTCTTTTTAAAATTAACTTCTGCCTAACCTAATATATCGTTTTTAAATAAATTGCCTTTTCAGTCTGTGCTTTTGGGTTTTTTTCAATATTACGTAAAGATCAATCATTCAGTTGATCATCTTGTCCTCGAACAACGCTTTTATCACACTTTATCACAAACTTCTGAATTAATGTATTCCACTTGGAGAAAGAGGCTTTTAGGAAATTAAATGTCTTTTTTTATGTTTCCCTGTTCTTTGAGTAAATGGCTTCTGGAAAAATACCAAGCCAGATAAATCGAAACAGCCATGTTCGTACATAAAATATTAGATTTTATTTGTTCAAATTTGCACTGTTTTGTTCTAGTTGGGTCGCGGTTTATTGCCGAATTGAAGGCATCACTTGCATGAGCATACAATTGAGTTATTTAGATCGCATGTTCCAAAATGTGTTTGACAAAATACATAATTTACTGAGGTGCAAGGCAACAGGGTATTTTGCCGCCCCGGATATATTGATAGAGCATTCATATTGAACATCGAAGTAATTTCACAGACTTAAAAATGATGGACATTTCCAGCAAACTACAGCTTTATATTTGCAGGCATCCGGGTGAAATGTACGATTTATGCTAGTTTAAGATGTCTGGAGAAAATGAGTGAGTGAAAACTTTTAACCCAGATTTTAAAATATAATAGCGCAAAAACCATATTGATCGATGGTGGCAGGAATTGGGCATAAATTTAAAGAAACGCAATCAGGCAAAGCGTTTTTTTTGAAAACACGGTTTTCAAATTCCGCCTTGAAATTTTAGCCCCGACCGGCTTGGCAAACTGTAAAAATCACTTCCAAATCACTTCATTATAAATCGTTTTAAACCAGAACCCAATCTGGAACAAGTTATCAATTTCCTTCTACCTTGACAAGAAAATATAGTGGCAGATAGCTTAGACCAGCTACTTTTCGTAAATCGCTTTGGCTCGCGTATATCGGTGGCAAATATCTGTTAAAGGCCACAATAAAAATATACGCCTGATAAGGCATTTTCTCTAAGAAAGATACTGATTTTTTATTTTTGTCACTATTTACGCAGTTTTTGGTACTTACTATATCGTTTTAATGTCTGCTCTATAATTCACCAACAAAATGCAATAAGAGTTCTCATATGAATTAGAAGCAAATGAACACTAAAACTATGCGCTGCAATTCGACGGACGGTATGCTGATTCTTATCTTTGGAAGAACGCTGGCAATTTTGGCTTAAAAACCTTCTTAGAAGAAATTTCTAAAACTGTCTTCAATGAATTCCAATGTAATTCTTTATTTTATAATGCAGATAAATAGATGTATTTTTTTTGGTCAGAAATTGTCGCCATTTTTGATATATATCAGGACTGTTTTCCAAAAAGCTAATAGCGCGGAAGATGTAAATTCAAGTTAACGAATAGTGAGAACATTTTGCAAGTATTATCAAAAATCAGCTATTTTGGTTGGAAAAAAACCTGGATGTTTCTAGTTCACTTTCCAATTAAATAATCCAGTCAGATTTTTTTTCAAATAATTAAAGACGGAATCAACATCATGCGCTTAAAAAAATATTTTTACTTTACTAATAGTTTAAATATTTTTACTTGCCTTTTTATTGAAAATGCACTGATTAAAAATTGCAACTTTTCTTAGAAAAAACTGCAAGCATAAAAACTCTATACGTCTATAAGCAAAGTAAGTTTATAAACTATAAAAACTACATCCGAACGTTTGTCAAGCATTCCAAGAAAATAGCAATGAGCTAAACTTAATAGAATCGAATTTAAAAAAATGGAAACGCTCTTTTACAAACCGTTTGGAGGTTATATCGGAGCCTTTTGATCTGAAGCACGTTCTCGTAATTACCTTGAGTCGTATAGAGCCTTCTGCAATAGCCGACGCCCACGATACGACTGATAGAGCCAAAGGAGCTAGCGCAAGCTCAAAACATCGATTGCAGCGAGCACGTGCTCCAAGAAAAATTGAGATATTTTACGCACCACTCCGCAAAACTTTTTTAATTTTAAACACTTAAAACAAAAATGTGACGAATCATCCAAAAAATTGGAGCGCTCTAATCCCGCTTGATATCCGTGGCCCGAACAGAGGAACTTTTGCATTGAACAGTTTGCCAACTTTTGTGTGTTTTTCTAATGATTAGAGTGTTTTTCAAGTAGCTCAGTTAACACGGAAACAGCTCTTACTTTTTGATGTCTAAGAGAAAAATGTGGGTTTTAAATTTCAGCGTTAAGCAATTTAGCAGGTGACGGTAAAATGAACTCGGTAAAATGATGTAATTTGTTTGTTGTAAGCAGCAATACAGTTTGATGACTTTTTCGGTAAATAAAAAATAACTAAACTTCCTCTGGAAAAATTGACTCTTCATAATATATGCAAAAGCTGTATTGGTTATATACAGCAGTTGATTGAAAGCACTGAACAGCTAGTTAATTCTGGACCGGATTTTCGAGGAATTTTATTTCCTCAAAAGCTAATTGGGATCGGGAGCAAATATCGGCTTATTTCCAGCTCTCCATACGAAAGCCCTTCTAAAAATTTATTGCGTCATTACAGCAGTTTGGAGTCAAGCCGTCAAAGTAAATAAACATGGGTGTTTTAAAGGGTCGGAAAATTGAAGTCTTTAATCCTTTCCTGTCGAAGTGTTTTATTGACACCTTAAGGTGGAAACTTCCGTATAATGGCTTTCTATTTCCATCGTGCCTTGTTACTAGATGAGTTTATTTGCGAAATTTCAGGGAATATTTGAATTTACATGAGGGGCGATTTTAGTGTATTTGCACGAACTAAAATAACAAAGATGATGTTGAATATTGAACGATCCCGAAATAAAGCCAATGACACAAACTAGAAAGGAATGATGTCCCAAAGTAGCGTTTTTGAGAGCAAAATTTACGAAATTCAGTAGAAACGAAACGGAGGCCTATTTTCTAATTAAAACTACTTTTGGCTACAAATTAACTTATTTAATGGATCCTGCGTTTTTAGCTAAACCCTTTGTCACTAGTTGTAGAAGTAATCAAGCATTCACCACAAAAAAGTATTTTTTATCTGACTTCAACCGCATTTTATTCCACACTAAAGATCCAAAATTTTTAGCTTCAACGTTGCTCGCCATCTGCTTTCTACTGAAATCTTCACATAAACTAGTTGCAAAAGTTATTAGTTTTCGGTAATTTCGGGCATTTTATGAGACAATCGTTGGTGCTTCAATTCTAAAACGGTGCCTGAAGATGTCGCCCATGCCAAAAAACTATTTTCACCGTCAATTTTCTAATACCCTAATTTTTAAACATACGATGTCCTCTTTTAGTATTTTTTAGATTACTTTTCGGTAATTTCGGGCACTTTATGAGAAAATCGTTGGCGCTTGAATTCTAATACGGTGCCTGAAGATGTCGCCCATACTAAAAAATCTATATTCACCGATGATTTTGAAATACCCTAATTTTTAAGCATACGATGCCCTCTTTTATTATTTTTTAGATGTTCTCCATCGACTAGAAAAAACTATTATGGGCAGATTGGCGAGCAAGTACGTTTTTTTGAAGCTCCATCAAGTTCCAATGGAAATCGATATCAGCTCGTTAACTTCTATATAGAATGGTGGCCACTTTATCTTTAAGGGTCGTAATTTTTTTAATGGAATTCTGGCGTAGATCTAAAGACGGAACCCATTTTCTCTAGCGCAGTTACTCAAGTGGGTGTCTCTAATCTGCCGATGATAAAAAAGTGAGAAAATTAAAGCATGAGCAGATGGGCTATAAAGTTGATTAAATACAAATTAATAAAACGTTATCGGTCTTTAAGAAAAAACTGGATGGGCAAGGAAAATGTAAATACGCCTATCACAGAGGCGGAAACAACTTCTCGTTATCTAATTGTGATTAAAATGATCGTTTGATAATAAAAACAACCAAATAAACATTTTACTCATTCATTTATTCGTCTGGGTTAAATATTTTTACAATTATTTACAAAATATATTTTATACAATAATTAAAATATTCGTTGAATTATTTTTGAGCATTAATTTTATACAGTACGCAAAAAAATAGAAAAATTCTACGTTTGGTGGTAACCAATGTTGGCACTGTAGACAAGGGGTTTGGCCTATATATAGTCAACACAAATCTGGAATTTCAAATGGTATTACCACTAGAATAACAATAATAAAAAATACATAATAAAATCGTGCGCTCCTGAAGTGGATTTTGGCATTACCGCTTGACATTCTCCTAGACTAAATACTACACAACATTTTCATCATTATAATATAAGACGTCTTAAGGGTTTCAAAGTTTATGAAGAGAGTTTTAGAAACAGCAAGCTTTGTTTAGACGAATTATTATTGATAAATTGCACATGTTTTGTGATACTTGTGCCCGATTAGGAAAAACCTGCACTGATATGTATTTTAAAATGATATTCATTTGCTTAACTTACAAACTTCATATGTGAGCCAGTTTCGCCAAAAATCACCAGAAAATTACTTTTATCTTTCAGCACGACGATGTGTTGCTCGGAACAGCTTAAATGTATCAAACATTTTATATAATAACGTGTACTTAGTTCTTTTAATCGAATTGTCTGCATCTCAGTGCAATGTTTCTAGAAATTAAGCTTCCGGTCCTGTCTGTGTCGCATTTGCAATTGCCTGTAACTGTTGTAGGGTCTAACACTGAAAATAACATCGCTACTGAAAATATGAGACACCCCTAGATTACCATTAATAAAAAATATGTATTTCTATATAAATTAAACATAATGATTAGCTAATTGTCTAGATAATTATCTATGATATGAATAGATTTAGTATACTTAAGGTAAATGTTTATTTACATCCAGCATCATTAATTTAAGCTATTTAACGGGAAAGGGTTTTGCTCTATAAAATTTCCAAACATAACAACGATAAATATAAATTAACAACTTATTTAAATAATAGCTAGTTTTATACGTATAACATGAGTATATCGGTTAACTAATCAAAAAAACTAGGAAAATTAACATTGAACGAAAATGTCAGTAATAAATCTCCAGTCAACACGGCAAGGATAAATTATTATATAATCAACTTACTGCTCGCTGTTCTGAAAGAGCTTCATATCTCAAAAACAGTTCAAATCTTCAGATAAACATTTGAAAAGAAAAATAAATAGTTTATTTATCATCATGAAGCACATTTAGAACTCAGCTGACAAACGTGTAATTTTATAACAGGAATAAGCTTGAAAAACTATAAAAGTCTAATCGAGCTTCGCTCCAGCGAAGGAACGTAGAAGTTGTTTCAAAATTCAAACAGGAAATTAAAGCGATACTGTCGCAATTGCATCAAGAGATACAGTAAATCACCTTCTTAACTGGAAAGCTCTACGTTTAAATTCCTAGAGCTTAGCAGACAGAAAGGCGAATAGATAATGCTCTCTGGCCGATGACAAGGAAAATGGATCATGTACCAAATTGTCCTCGCTTTGCAAGATGTGTAACTTGAAAAAATGGAAGGATTTCTTCGGTTAACATTTAAATAATTTTCCGCGAAGTGACGGATTCGGGGACTGATAGACTTGTAGGTCGGAGTTGGAGCGTTCTTATGGTAACCCACAAATCGCATTACCTTAAATTTACACATTCTCTAAAGCGCCAGGTAAATTGCCCACATTTCTGGTTAATTAAGGTAAAGTAATTGGTATACTTCAGAGCTTAGAAAGACCAACGTAGTGATATGTTTAAATACGCCATAATTGCAGGTATTCACCAGAATGACTATCTTTTCATCATTTATGCTGACGAGTTTGACTGGAGTTTATTACATGCTATTTGCGCAACTTTAACAAAAAGTTTTATATGAAAAAGCTAACACAAGATGTAGAGAAAAAATTGGTTCATGAAAGTCAACAAAGATTCGACGAGATGTTAAACATGGCGCTGACAGAAAAAACAGTTCAGAATCACAGCTGCAAACTGGGGAAACGTCCATCTGACCATGCTGACGCATCCTGAAACAAAAACACAGTTTTAAACTGTATGCCTGCTTTGAAACGGATAACTAACAAACCGCGGATATTTCATAATGCCTACATTTATTCCGTTAATCCTCTTTTGCGTGTTCCTAAACATATATGTATGTGGACGATCATTCGGAGAAACATATTGAACTATTTTGGTAATTTGCTTGGAATTTCTGGCTTCAATGCTTAGTGGCGGGCGAAATAAAAATTGCATATATTTTTAAATTACGTTGCTACGAAGCTGGTGAGACCGGTAAATGCGATTTATTGAAAAACCACAAAGCACATCAAAAGCGCCAATTTTCCTGCAGATTTTAACGGGGTTAATTTTCCTAAATAAAACATGGAGACCTCAACCAAATATCTCCGTGCCAATCGATTCATTTGTGCGTATTTATTCGATTTATTAACTGAGCAAATACGAGATTTGGGGTTCCCGGTTTTTTTCCACTTTTTATCGCAGGCAATAAAAATGGTGGTGTGAGTTGCAAAATCATACCCAATACATTCAATAATTAGTTTTTTTCAGTTGTTTTGCCACAAGAGCACTACGTAGATTGTACAGTTCTTTATCTAGCTTTTTTATGCTGAGTTCGTAAAACAATTCGAGAGACACAGAGTTAGATCTTGCAAAACTTTGCAGATTTCTCGCGTTAGAATCTACACGCTCAAATTGATTAGTCAGCCTTTTTGTCGGAAGAAAGTCAGCCTTTTTTAAGCAGGACACCCAATGGGAAAAGCGATGAAAATCTACAAGACCGTGAAAGAGTGGATATCCGTCCAACTTGTGGGATCCAACTGCCCACATTACATTTATCGATTGTGAAGTGAAGCTGGTAAAACAGGAACAACAGATGGTTCCTGTGTTGCAGTTTATCGTTTGAACGGTATTCATCCATAAACTCTATGCCGTGAAAGTAATATCTGAAAAAATCGCTCGCATGTTGCGCTGCGACAATTGGATTGTCCAAGTTTCCTGAAAAGCTTAACTGCTGCCGAAATTACGCTAGCTCTGAAAAGAACCGATTTGTAGGCCAAAAATTGAATTTCAAAACGATTTCTTGATTACAACATGCATAAAATATAGATAGCGAGGCTTTTGACCCAAGTGTAACACTGTAACTTCCAATAAAAACCTAGTTGATTCAGTTTCTTTAGAGCCAAATATTCTCAGGAGTAGAGAACTGAAACAAAAGCATGCATATTTAAAGGATCAGGGATAAAATGTCAGATCGTGCAAATATCACGGCTTCAATCGATTTCTTCGAAATGCTGCAGAGAAATGCTTTTATAGTTTTTCTCTTTCTGGATTTTTATTCGACCGTTTCAAATAATTTAGTAATAAATTTGTTCGGAGTTTGGACTCTGATACCCGTTTATGTTTTATTCATTCGTACACACCATCAATACTGAGTTTAGTGCTATTTAAATCTTATGCTTAATGGTCTTTCGTGAACATTTTATGTTTCTTCATTGGCGTAACTGTTTAACCACTAGCACCATGCAAATCCTTGCAAAAGTGTAATTTCTAATATTGAGTGTTAAAAATTTTGCGAATGAACTACGTTAGATTTATTTTATGAAAGTTTTTTCTTAAAATATGAAATAAATAAAAAATATCATAGGTATTAATTCTTAGCACGGCCTACAAATTATAAAAACATTTTAATAGTTTGGTACTGTATAAGCGATATCCGCTGGGTGAATAATTAGGTGTATTTTTCCCTATGAGCATGATCTATTAGTGCCGCAATCAATGTGAAAATAGTTTCAGACGATTTGTTATTTTATCTCTTGCAATAAACAGAAATGAATGAAGCGCAAAATCAAGCCAATCCAATTAATAACTTCCAATATTAATGGGTAAAGCTATATTTCGATTCGACAGTTTTTTTCAATTAAAAATAAATGATTTCAACACATACACGGTGCAGGATATTTTGTTGCTTCATAAGTAAATCGACAACATAGTCGGGGAAATTTGCGTAAAGCAAAATTTTCTCTATTCACAAACGATATTTTTTGTGTATAACGAACTGATTAGCTTACCAGATAATTGAGGGCTAGATGGTGTACGGAAACCAACTCCATATTCCTGACGAGCCTCTGTTTTCTTCTGTGAAGTATTATCGTCGTTTTCAGTCGAAGTTATCATCTTGCTCTTCATTCTTTCTTCTTGTGCCTGCTTGCTCACGTTGCGTTTTGCTAGATCTAGAACCAGAATTTACTTCAGTTTAATTGGCGAATATATTCACTGATAAAGCCTTTTTGAATTGCAAATTTCATTTAGATTTTATGCAAGTTATTTAAGTATTTTCTTAATCGTTGTAGGTTCTGGTGTATAGACATTGTATATTTGCTCTTCTCAGTCGCCTGAAAAAAAGGTAGATAAAAAAATGAATTTTGGCGTTGCATGCGTTTGCATAAAAGAAGCTGTGACAGACAACAGCCTAGACATATAATAATTTTGATAAAGATGACTATGACGGTAAATGTGAACTGGGTTTTTGATTGTGGTGTTTCTCGTCAAAACTTAATGCATATATTAAACGGAATTTCGGCGTGTAGAAACTGTATTGCAAAAGCAAACTCGGGTTTTGATGTATGCTTATCAATGGCAACGAAATAACCGTGACTTTCAAACTATTTCTGCAAATGTGCACTGCTTCTAAACACTCAACTCCAAATAGAAATTGTCAACCGAAACAAAGCTTGTATTGTGTGCCTGTTACGTCGTTATTATCATTTGTAATGTGTTGTGCCATATAAATCTCTTTCCTAGAAGGCATGCCTTTGCCTTTGTATTTAATTTGTTGAACGTAGGTCTAAGCGTTGTTTCCTGAGTTATTTCTAGTCTTCAAGATCCTCATGGAAGGACATTTTATTGCGCAGACAAAGGTATGCATTTTGATAAATATAAACCAATTACATAGTTATTTAATAAGCCGGTTGTACTGGTCAAGAAAGTTGGAAAGCGCGAATTATTTTGAGCACAATAAAAGTAATTGGATTTCGTGTGCTTTCCAACAGAATTCTCCTATTGGCAACTGGATGAGAGAACGAACAACATGCGAGCAAAGAGAACAAACTTTATAAAACATATTTCTAGTTGGGGAAGGATGGAATTGACACTGAGTTGGACAACCTATTGTTCCTTCATTTAGTTTAATTCAATAACTGACATGAATTGCATCCCAAGTATTTACTAACTTCCAGTACAAACAATTAAATTTCTGACGAGGCGGAAAGACTGGCTGGAACGGTTGCTTGTGTTTTGCATTGGATTACTTCCTGGTAATTATATCTAGTTAAAACAATTGGGATGCAGTTTATTGCAGCATGCTTTTGATTAACTGATGTCACTTCAGTTCACATTTTATAATGATACCAGAACATTAAAAAATCAGTTTTAATCCAGGGCTGAAATCAAATTACTAACTCTAATCATTAGCGTTATCGCGAAATAATTGTATGTTATGTTCGGTCGAAAATTAGCGATCGAGACTTATTTATTATGTTTAACCCGAAGCGGAGAGCTAATTTAATATGCAATAGGCAACAGATTATAGCAGTTGTCCTATTAACTCCAAAACCATTCAGTAGATACACATTATTTCCGTGGCAGTTGTATTAAAATTCAGTGGCAGAGGAATAATACAACACTTGTTTCAAAGTTGCTAGATTTAATTGACACAGAATAGGTGCTTTCAATAATGACGGTAATTATACTTTATAAGCCAACAGCGATCTCACAATTATTCCTGCAGCAGAAGTAACTACTCAGGCAACGGGCATTTATCTGTAAAAGTCATTGTCAGCTCGTTAGAGAATTCATTGTCGTCTCTTCGAGCTAATAAACGAGTGGAATGCAATTTGTGTTCGTTATTGAATTAATTTTATCTAAAAGATAAGAATAATTACTCGCAGGCAATATCCGCTTAAATTTAACATTGTGGTAAAAAATTATTCCTGTTATTAAATTTAATTTGAAATCATTCGTCGCAGGCATTCGATACCCCACGCTAGTCAGTTATTAAATTAACTCCTACCTAGAAACAATAGTTTGTCCAAATAGGTGTCAATTCCACACTTCGGCAACTTGGAAGTTCATCCCCTTAGTCTATAGCCATTATAGAACCGGTATTTTGTAATTTGTCGCATTTGGATAGCTAATTGTCTTCCATGAATTAGGGTTAATCCCAGATAATAAATAAGGATTTAACGTTAAAAGTACCTGGTGCTTGTGCGATAGATTTGAATTTCTCTTGATCTTGTTGACAATAAAAATCTGACCTGTCATTAGTTCTGTTTGTTTTTTAGTAAAGATAATTAACTCGTTAAATTCTGAAGATTTTTCAAAAACATTAATCATTTTAATTACACTTGATATCAAAACATCTGAGATCCACTTTCGAGATTTTAGGCGGCACTCATTATATTTTTACAAATCGCTCAATGGGTGCTTCAAGGGTGAAAATAAACGTGTTTTGAACCAGAGGGTGAGAAAGTGCAACAGCTGGAATCTGTACATTAGAGCAGTTGGAAGGTAGTAAAAGTACGTGCGGAAAGTTATACTAAGTAGAGTAACATATAAATTTTGTCTAGTCCCAACCTGTGCATACGCGTCTGATATAATGGACAAAGTTGAGAAAAGACACGGACAGGGTATTCTCCCTACGGCTATTTTCGTATACGATAAAAGTTGCGCTTTTGCAGTTTCATTTTGCTACTAAGGAAAGCAGGTGCTTTAAACAACAAAAGGGGCAAAACTTCAACATATTACATTTAAATAAAGTGCTTCTTATTGTCACAAAATTCCACGTTGCTTGTAGGTCGAAATGCGTAACTTAATGGTACTTTTTAAACACCGATTGCAGTATGTTTCGACTAATTTCCACGAAGAGAGTTTTGCTGCTTAAACTTTGTTCAATGTACCTACTTTTCGAGAAAACTCTTTGAACTGAAAATACAACTGCGGGGATCAACGATAGAACTTAACTACATGTTTAAGCCATGATGAGTCTTATTATAACCAAACAGGATATTGCAATAAAAACTACAAAGTCTTGTTCTTGCAGCACTATTTAAAAAATTGGTTGGAATCGCTACATTATCCATCACATATCCTTAGCATCTAAAACACCGTATAAATAAAATATTGCGTATTTTCCCTACGAGCTGCTGATAATATTTCTCTGTGTATTCTAAATTTTTCACATATTTCAAGCCAGAACTAAGAAAATGCTCGGTGTATAACGGAGAATTTATTATCACGGATATCAAGTTGACAGCGGGAACTAGCAACGGCACTACATGCTTTATTTGCATCACCTGGAGGAAGACAAATGACTGAACGAAAATAAAAAATCTTCAGCAGTTGAATAAAATGTTTTTCCTGTCCCATGAATATATGGCTATCATGTGTTGGAGGCTTCGGTCAGCGTCTTTAGATATAAATGGACAAAAATCCAATATGTTTTACTCCTGGATAGACACTATATGAACAAATCCAGACTCGATACTACTGTTTTTAAATCTAGCAAGAGTTGCAGAAGGTTAGAGTGCTTGGCTCACTTGTTACCCCATTCTTTGTCAAATAACCTCTTTAGTCTAAACATTAACTTCATTTGACTAGCCGGAAAATTATTCGCTCGTTAATCAATTAATATCAGCCACGGATCAGTTTTTTCTATACACAATTTGCCCCACAAACCTTGTCGACTGTTCACTGCATTATTTTCCGGTTTTATGATAGCCATTCGACCTGCCTATACGCATGATTTAAAAAGAAATTGTTTGGAAATTCAGTGGTAGCATTTCTAGTCAAAATTTGGTCAATTACCGCTCAAATTAAACAGTCAGCTCTGGAAAGTTTGATTTCCAAACCTAGGATTTCTGGTTATTGTATTTATTGGTGCATATTCAAATTGGCAGCGCTTTCGAAGGCGCGCTATAGCCTAAAATAATATGATTAAACATAATTGTGGGGCTTACAAACAAAGCTTAAAGGAGTCCACTTACTGGCCCCTGTAGCAACAAGATGGAAAGCATTTTAAATTAAACATGATCTCATTTACACGGAAACTGGCAAAGTTAAGTCGTTTAGATGTATTTCGCAGGGCGTATGCCCGCCGTGCCGTTTTGTGAATATGCAAAGATAAATACCTAACTAAGGGAAGCGGGCAATTTCGACAGCATAGAGCCACCCCAGGGTCGTATTTAGGGTATTTGGTCAAAACCTTGCGCTTAGCAAGTGTCGACGCAAGATTAGCCTGAATGGATTGTTCCAAAAGATATGCAGGTGCATGCAAACCAAACAAATCCAACATGCAGCTTGAAAAACCTGAGATACAACGCTGTATTTGTTTCTAAAGAGGAAACTAAATCATTTATCAATGCTAAGCTGGAAACTCTTCAATTAGAAAGGAAATCCCTAGAACACCATTGACTTCTTGAATAAACGAAGCTAAAAGTATTGTATACCTTGAACAAAGTTAAAGCTTTAAGGACTTAAACTGAAAGTTAAAATTACGCCCCAAAGTATAATATATTTAACTTTGCAGGCAACACTACATGTTTTCTTGAATACAAAATACCAAAATACAATGTGATGTTGGATTTAGGATGGATTGGTTTAAGTTCTACCATCTAGAGAATATAGTTTGTTTTGTTGCGCGCTCTGTCATCTGAAATTTACGAAATCGTCCATGATTAATTTAAGTATATAAACTTTCTTTAAGAACGGCGAATTGTGAACGCTTAGGTCTTAACAGCTGTGTTAGCAAACTTTTTTATTTGCGATGTCACAGCAAAATATCATTTTTTGCTGACTGCAATTTTAGTTGGGAATAGCGTATATTGAAAGTTTCTGTTGGATTTTGCTAGATGTTTTCGCACATCAATAAAAAACTGAAATTATTTTCCTTCTAATACTCTAAAAAATCGTATTCGCAGCCTGAAAAGTTGTCGCCGTTGTGACATATTTCAACAACTTCTGCGTTAAAAACCAGCCAAATATTGGTATATTAAACTGAGGTGATTACTTACTTTCTCTATGAGTATGGCTTCGAGCTTCAGTCGGTTTTGAGATCGTTGTGGGCATCGGAATTTCTGAAAAGAATAGTTCTATCTTCAAATGCTCTTTCATGGATCAAGGGCGAATGTAAAAAATATAAAAATTTACATTGACATAAATTGCCCTTCTGCTCCCCAACTATTATATACATTTCTCAAATACTTTTTGTAAACAATTTATGGCTCTCCTCCGAATGCAAAAGGGTACAACTTACTTTTTAATTCATAAGAGATATCGAGTGGCCTTTACTTCCAAACGTCCGTCTACATAAAATATAAATCGCAAAGTTTCTCCGTTTTTGCTAACTCTGAACTTCCTAATATATGGTTAATCTGTTGAGGAAACTTTTTCCAGTGAATATTGATAACTGATCGTAAAAGTTCGATGTCTGAAATGAACAGCTGTATATCACAACGTTCAAAAAATCTAGATGAGAGTTTCTATCGAAAGTGTCATTATGAAATTTGCCAGAGATCGTAATATGTATTTTAGTTTAATTGATTTTTTCCCAATATGAAAATGGACGAATGGATAGTTTTTATATAAAACTTTTTTCTCCCTCCCGGACCAGCACGTCAGATGTTTGGAACAGTAATTAACATGAACGTTCTGTCTATATGACCTGATGGAGTGTGGACGCCAACAACTTGTGGCTTTGAAAAAAGCGCGTTAAAATTCTCAAAACAAAGGCCAGAGATAAACGGTCATAATTCATCGGTTTAATCTCGCACTGGAATTCATAAGAAAAATGATTGGGAGTCGTTTCTTTTTTCACACTAATACTCTCAGCAGCATAATCCTAATAAATTCTCCCAACGAGCACGTGTAAAATCCTCAAAAAACAATGTGCCCGTGCCTTCTGGTCCTGGAATTTTTGATTAATCCTCTCTAGGTGACTGATCGCTGACATCGCCGATTCGGCCATATTTCAATTTTGTTTCGGAAGAAGAGAAAACGACCAGACAAATTACGAATTTGTTGGGGTTGCAAGGGTATTTTATTTATGGCAAAGAACGGCCCATAATTGTGGAGGTTTTGCAAAAACCCGCTATTCCATAATTGACCTAATGGAAACCACTGTAAGCGGATTTTAGGCCATTCTTTTAAGGCGATTGGAGGCGAGCAGTCTGTTGTGTTGGTTTCCTGCTGGACAAAAAATTAGTCACAGAAAACCATTGTTTGGTGGTGTGCGGTCAAAGTTTTCACCTATACGAGAACTTCGGAAGCTTCGCAAAATCAAACGGTAAAAGATTTCAAAGGACGTACCAATTTATAGAGCAGACCTAACTTCTAAATAATTCCCTAAGTTCAATGGAGAACCTTTTGAGCGCCCCAATTCAACTGACGTATCATATATTTGAATTATTCGCGTAATATTCCAAGAATATTTTCAGATTTTAACTTCGTTCTGTTTAGTTTCAACAAAGGTGAGCATTTTGAAAGGTATAGAAATTATGCCTTTGAAGTGTATTGAATTTCAAATATGGTATATCAGTCAAGCTCTAGATGTTCTTGCTCGTCTCGATAGCATATACATATAAAAATATCAACAGCTTTTTTGAAGTAAATTTTGTGAGGCTGATTTTTTACATTTGAAAATCAACCCATTAGAGACTAGATCCGAAGCTGGGCTATTTGGAAACCCGAACTAAGTAATTCGAGTTTTAACTTGATGAAGATTGATAGGTTGGCTAGTGGTGTACATTTTCTAAATGTCATTGAACTTGCGGTTTCGCCTAAACCATCTTGTCGGGAATTAAATTGTTTAGCTTGGATTACGGACAGTTTCACCTAAAATTGATTACAGATGGAACAACCTTTTATTAACTCTTTCACCCCGTCATGAACCCGAGTTTAAAATGGCTTTTCGACTTTAATTTTAACTATCGCTGCTTTTATATTTAAGACAAAATTATTCAGTGATTATCATGAAAACTTGATGGATCTAACAGTCTGCTTCATGATCTTCGCTAGACGAAACAGCAAAACGAAGCTTCATAAATTCGACATTTTTCAAGACACTTTTCTGGCAAAACGCCGCGCAAAGTAGATAATGGAATTAATGGTCGTAAAGTAGAGACAGGAGATTATTTCCTTGAAATCTTGCAAAACTCCGAATTCAATCTAGACAACATTTCCTCATTTGGTCCTAACTCAAATACACAAGGGTAAGCATTTGAATAATAAAAAGGTACAAGGATCAATTCGTAACGTAAAATAGAAATAGGCCCTCCTACAGAGGGTTTCTCAACATGTATCGAACAAGCTAAAAGGAAATTTGTAAAGGTGTGGAGACTGGGGTGTGCGGATTGACAAAATACTTATCGGTGACCAAATTCAGAGTAACATTGCTTTGTGTTGAAAGTTACTTGATCAAAATTCCACAGCTTTCGGGGAGAAAAAAAATTCAATTTAGTCTAAACTTTAAGAATTCATACGAAATTAACGTGGTAATTTCAAGAAAACTAAATAAAATATTCAACATAACAACACATTTTATAGTGAAATTGTAGTAAGAGAAAATTGACTGGTTCCACTCGGAAACTCGGAAATTTTTCGTTTTTTTTGTCGTAATAAGTACTAACCGTGATATTAAAAACCCGATATCGCATACTTCGAACACTTTTTCGCATATATTGCGTGTAGACTGTGCCTACAAAAATTGATATTTTATTAGGTCCCCTAATTTGAACGTCGTAAGGTGTTAAGTGGTTAATGTTATTCGGGAATCCTTCAAAAAGTCTATTTTCATGAACCTCAGTTGAACTGTTTTTATATGATTAAACAAATGTAAGCATCTTGAACAAATATTTTCCATTTTTGGTCCAGCCCAAATCGTTCAAGATAGAAAAAAGCCAATGTTGTTTTGTGCCGCCCTCAATATTTGGCATTGTTAAAAGTGGAAACAAAGACTCTTTTGTATTAGAAAGCAAATCAAAAGTTTTCGAATAGATTTTCGGTCCACATTTCTTTTACTGCGAGAACCAAAACGCGAGGTGAACGAGGTTATTCATTAGTGCAATTTATTGCAGATTTTCTTTCTTCCTTATTATGCTTTATGGAAAATCGATTACTAAACGCCTTCTATAATGAAAATGTATGCGGAGGTAAAATGCCAAAACCTAATTGGAAAAATTCGTGTTTTTCAAGAGAAACGAGGAGATGTTTTATAAATAATATATGCGGTTATTTTGCTGCCAGATCAGTTAATCGTGTTACTTTTGAGCATGTTTCCGTAAATATCAAATTATTTTTAGCCGGTAAATAAGCGACGGTTGCTAAAAATAGAACAAGCAATATTTCATCCAACTTTCAGTTTATAAAGAAAACGTTTCCGATATACGGTCTTATCGAACCCAACAAACCGCAAACTGCTTGTTGTATACTTCTAATACTGTATTAAAGAGGAAAAACAGAAAACGAGTAGACAAATTACGTATTTGTAGGAGAATTTTATTTACCGTAGAGCCTGATGGAGCCTTCGGTTTCCCCGAGGGAATTCTTCGAGATGCACCGATAGTTGCCGAAGTCGATCGTCTGGAGGTTTCGGACAGTCAATTTCATGTGTGCCCTGAAACAGAATTCACGAATTATTAATGTATCAAAATTGGATTTTTCGCTAACGAAAAATATACGTGCCTTACCACTTCGCATACATAGCATGGATATGTTTAAATTTCTTCGGTCTCCATGCTTGCATCACATTCCCTATACTACACTTTATGGCATAGTATTTTTTTACGAATTACTCTTAATCATTCGAGTTTCTAACTTTACCCTGGCTATCCAGATTACCTACGACCATTTCTGCAAGTAGTAGAATGCAAACCTCCTACCATCTAAGCTATATTTTACGCATTGTAAATCAAACGCCCAGTTGGAATTACAAATAAAATTGAAACCCGAACACCCTTGACAACTTTCTACCAACAGACCAACGACATCGTCGAAGACATGAAGTTGATGTATTGGAGATTGAAATGTGATATTATTTGACGATTTTGAGACAATCAATTGTTAGCATAGGTATTTCCAGGAATTAACATGTTAGATGAAATCTTCGCTTTTGTATTTCATTCATCTGTTGCAAACAACAATTAACATTCATTACAATAAAAAATATTGTAAATGTTCTCATTACATAGAGTCATTACTAACCCTACTGAAAAGAAAGTCTGATGGACAACATTGAAACTTTTCTGGAAAGTGCACCAGATAGATTAGAAACATTTTTAATCGTTTAATTTTTTATATGTGCTGATAATTTTAGGTCGGTGCGGAACATAAAACCTTTACATAGAGAAGAAGCTATATATGCTATTTGATTATTAATATGCTTGAATCTAAAACTAAAATACTACGTTCTTTCATTGTAATGCCCGGATTCGGAGCACCTACTCTTCTTGATGCCGTTGATGATTTAGTAGATTTAAAAATGCATAGTTGCTGGAAATGATCAACAGCGGCTGAAAGATTTCTGACCCTTAACTATAAATAATCTAATGAACAATTTAGCAAAAATTGCATCTGCCACAGCAACTTTGAATGATTCAAATGCTGATAGAACTAGCAATTGAACATCTGTCACAGTAAATTCTAATGCTTCAATTTCGTCATCTTCAAATAATAAAATGTCTTATACAGCGTGTCCCGTAAGTACATGATCGAAAGGGTACTGCGATATTGTGTGGATCAAAAAAGGACGATCTTCTCTAACTTTTATTCAGCGACAATATTTGGGCCTTCTGCTATTGATAGTCAAAGGTTTTGAAAACAATTATGTTATTTGAAATATCGTGAAAATGACACGATGGATTTTAATGGAACTTGCTGCGAATTTGTTTCTATCTAGGACTGTTTTTGATGAGACAGACGATTTTTATGAAGCATCTCGGTTCATCCGCTTTGGGCAATTGAGGAATTCTTGAGTCTCTTGGTACAAAAACTACCGGAACTTTTTATTTGATGGCTGGAATCAACTGATTTATTTTTATGTGATGGATTAGTGCAACTCTGTTGATATTTTTTACCTCTTTTAAAATATTGTGGCAGTCATAGCGTTTGCGCAATTTTGCTACAAACTTGTCCCTTTTTTCGTGAAATTTCGGATGGGCGCATACGTAAAGTGCTTCGTACAACTCTCATTATGTAATATGTTATTACGGTTTCTCCTGCCTTCAATTAAATTTTTATACCCAATTTGTCGTAGACTTTTATAAGTTTGCATGCCCAAGCCTCATTCTAGGTCACATTTTTTCAGACACGCGCGAATATCTGGCTTAAAAAAGTTGAGAAAATGTCTGGTTTTAAAAAGTTAAGTTTTTCCATACTCACATATAGCTGCTTTCGGTTAGAGCAGCACCATATTTCTTGGTGGGTAAAAGCATGACATTATCCCGTACCCAATAGCTGATGGCTTTGGGATGAGCTTCCGTGTGGCAATCCAAAGTGACGTCGGTACCCGCCGGGGCACCAACCAGTTGATTGGGAACCCAAATCATGGGTGGAACTGAAAAAAATTTGAATTGGATGAAAAAATTCCAACATCTACCATAGATGTTGGAATTTTTTCCTGAAGATGGTTTCGATATAAGTGTCCCGTTTGAGCAAATTTTGAAGATATGCCCACTTATCTTAATAAACACTTTCTTTTATTAAACAGTTCCATGAAAATGTTGGGCTTCTATAACATCACACTCCCACAGAATAACTTATTTTTCGGGTGACAGATATGACATATAAACATAACCCGCTGAGAAATGAATAGCTACAAGATGTCACAAATATAACGCGCTCAAGATGGTGGAGGCCGTCGTGCGGCTCTCTGTAGGAATATGTCCGGGATATATAGGTTTCCCTGGTAAAAATATGTGGAAAACAAAATAAATTGCCTTTTACCTTAACAGCAACAAAATGATTTCTATTTTATATCTACCAAAGCGGTTGCGGTTGCCAGACAGGTAATTTCTCTATAAACACATGCTTTTTAAGGTTTAAGGAAACGTAGAACATATAACAAATATCTTTAAGATGCTCGATTTATTTTGAAAGTACGTTCGTAAAATAAAAAGCAGTTGGCATCTTCAAATCGATACTTTTAACTCCTGCGGAGCATTGAACTAGAATTACTCTTCCACCGATGGAACGCTATTGAAACATAAAAAAATTCAATATTTATCTTAAAGGCATACCAGTAATCCGCAGCAAAATTTACTGACGCTGATATTTTTTAGTTCTATTCAGGTAACATTTTGTTTCTGCCCTTTTTGGCCAAAATTTTAAACAAACATTTCACTAAAAGCCCGGAAAGCGATTACAACTTAAAGTGTAATGAAATGATAAGATAGTAATGATAAATCTATTGAACTGCTTCCATCATTAACGGAAAGCCTTGAAGGGGTAACATCCAAACTACCGGAATTCTGATTAAGTTGAAGTTTAATGCGATTTTATGACATAAATAGACAAAAGAAAAGGAACTGAGGTTTATTCGTGTTAGAGAATGAAGCTCGGGATTATGGAAACCTTTATTTTGTTTGGACAAGGATTATGCATGACTCACTCAGATATTTCGGATGGCGGAAAATTTTCCAGAAAATGGAATAAAACTATGGGAATTAGCGAGTATGTTGGTCGGTCGTTTTGTATTGGGTCAAACAACTGCTTTTTGTTAGGATCCCACCCTCATATATAAAATATTTACGCTTTTCCGCAGACCCACCCGATTATGGGACAAACAGAACGATAAACAAAGGTGTAAAGTACAGTGAAGATACTTACATTCTACGTCAACAACCACCCTTTTGCTGACAGACGGCGGCACTCCATTGGTGGCGATACAGAGGTAAACACCCATCTCGCTCCTGCTTATGCGGGTCAAATTTAGATGTTCCCCGTCAAACGAGGCCACTGGAACAGGATAATTTGAATTCCAGCATTTTATTGCCAAATATTGCGACGGCAACACGTTTAGTTCTAATTCCTCCATTATGCATGTTTTGTGTCAAATCAAGACCCTCCAAATATGAAAAATCTTTTATATGTCGTTCGGGAAAACCACTTACAACCCCTCGAAAGCTGTGATACATTCGGTTATGTAGAATTCAGTTTAAATCAGACATTTTGGACCAGCAAAACTATGCAACTGGAGCGTGTTTCTGGAGGATTGATTGTTTTGTGGTCCTTCGAGTCGGATTTGAAGATACATCCTATTGATGCAGAATATGGAAATTTAGCAACAGCAACACAGTGGAAGTTACGTTGTAATTACTTTTCCACAATATCATTTCAAAGCGGACTCTCTTAAATCCACTACTATCCGGATTTCTAAAGACACGAGAAACACATCAAACGCAGTACTGACATCAGTTTATTGATTCGATTAATTAAAATGTAACTACCCAACAAGCGTACGTCTTTGTAAGGTACAGACTTTGTACGTACTCAGCCGACGACTGTGCGCACCATCGGTGTACATGTACGTCCATAGTAAGTACTTCTAAGTACATTTTCCGAAAATTGTACGACCAGTAGAAGTACAGTGTGTACGTACCGCCGTAATCTGTAACTAAGATGTACGTACATAAAATGTTCTTCGTGCACAAACTAAGTACGTTCATAATAGTACCAACTACGTACCAACATTTTACGGCATGTACGTACCGATGTAATCTAGACCAAATATGTACGTCCATACCACCTACGCTAACTGGCTAATAATTTCCCTGTGTACTGTCGTATCCAGCTGGCGAAAAAAATATTTTGTCAAAGAAATATCGCTGCTCAAAAAGCGCAACCGTGTTTGATCCGTGAAAGGTGAAAACAGAAAGTTCATCGAATGAAAGCAAAGAAACAATGCCACGTAAAAACGAAAAAGTTTTTGTTACTTCAACTCGAGTTGGAAATTATGCAAAGCATCACAGAGCTGTATTAGTCTTTTTAACTTCAAAGTTACTAATCCATAAAAAAACCTCTCCGGGAACAATTTGAACTTACGGCATTAAAACATTAAGAAGTTTTAAAGTAACTTTTTCTTCCGAATCCTTTGAAGTCATTAAAAATGGAGTGTAAAAACGACTCATATTAATTAATTATCCATGCAAGTCACCAAAGTTTACGACAAAGAACTTGGGGGGTCTTAATAATAGAGTCTTTTTTGCACCATAACTTCCGAAGGGTGGACATTCTCTAGATGGGACAGTGAAAGTTGGTTCACTTTAGTGAAAAACGCTTTAAATTGACTCTCTTTTAAGTTAGACTTAGTTATTTCCATACAATTACGTCCATCGTCTATTTATTTTACTTTGCTTATATTAATAGAGAAGCTATGGTATATGAAATCGGAAAATTCAGACCTTCAGTAGTCGGCAGGCGTTTGCTTAAATAATAAAACATGCTTTAAAATGAACCTCGGCTTTTAAAAGTTGTTTTTATTTATTTCGGATAAACTTGAAAAGAGCATTTTCAAATAAGTCTTTGAAGGAAGTAAATTTAGCCAAACATCTAGTAACTTACAGGTAAAGCAAAGAGCAAAAAAGGTTTTTAAATGTTCAGCATGTGAATGACCAAAAATGTTATTATGGTGAATATTACTAATTACTACAGTATGTGCTTTCTTTCGGCTCCAAGTAATCCAATAACGTAAAACGACTTTATTGGATTTTCTTTATTACATTTTTAAACCTCTCAAATTTAATAAGTTTAAAGTGCAGCTTCTTTAAAATTATGTGTCGCTATTTCATCCAAAGCTCATTTTGTCGCTGGTCTCTTATTTAATATTAAAGCAATATTGTAAACGGTATTTGATGTACAGGATATCAACAAAGGGTAACATTCCACTGCAGTTTTAGGACAAAAATGTAATTATAGCCAAAACATGTTTAGAGCGAATATTAAAGTCGATGACGATAAATCACTTCAAACAAAATATACAGTACTTCAGTAACAAATCTAAACCCCTGAACCCACCAGTAGCATGGTGTTTTTCAATTTTAATGGCGAAAAATGGGCGCGAATCAAAGTAATTAGAAGCAATAATTTCATTAATTCGAGTATCGGCAACCTAAATATAAAAGTTACAATCAAATAACAGACTTCTTATAAACTTATAGAAGCGCAGTTTTCTTCATTTACAATGCAAAGCACCACTCGCGCCATGCATCCAATATGCACATAGGAATGAGCAAGTTTAGTTTCTCGACAATTTACATTTCTCATTCTGTTTCCCAATCTTGCCATTATTTTCATGATTTTATTGGGGCGATTTTACAGAAAGAGTATCTTTCAAATGAAAATTATTTAACGATATATCGCAATTGGTTGGAAAATAGTTTTGAAAAAGCTAGCAATATCGTTGATAAAACTTCAGGGTCACAGTTCTAAATTAATTTTATTTCCATTGAAACTAAATCTTTCGTCAAAGGAATCTGTGCATAATGGGCTTTACAGATTGCTTTTGATATTTTATGTAAATTCAGCATGTTTACACCATGATTTTCTAAAACTCGTCGTTTTATTCGTTTTTTTTTAGCAAAACAATGGTATGAATGCGTTTTCAACAGGCAAGTCTAAGGGGAATTAGCAGATGATTTGACGGTGGAAAGCTAAATGGGCTAACTGTGGTATTTTCAACTGTTTGGTAAGGTTCAAAAGCAAATTTGGCAACAAGTTCAGTTTTGCTGTCCGATTTGCTTTTACAAAACTTGAAATACAAATACGTTTTTCAACTGATTCGCCTTTCAATTTAAAATACCTTTATTTTTGCGGTCCACGATGATTTCCTGACTGTCTCCTCTTCGCCACTTTACACTAGGAGTGGGGAATCCTTCAGCTTTGCATGTCAAGCTCACATTTTGATTTTCACGGATCGCTACGTTGGATGGAGTGCTGAGACTGTCTATGATGTTTGGTGGAACTGAAGCAAAATAATTGATTTGAATTAATTTTTTGAAATTGGAACGGTTAGCAATTTTATTGAATGAACTAAGGAGAGATTATTACCCACTACTTGTAGGTATCCCACTTGGCTTATCATGGGGTTCGTGTTGACTTGGCACATATAATAACCCCGGTCCTCTCTATGTGCGTTGCTCACGTGAAGAAGCCAAGTTCGATCATTATCGTAGCTCACACTGAAGCGTGGTATTCGACTGATCACATGCCGATGAATTGTGAGGATCATTTGGCGATCTATGTGAATCCATGCAACCTGCAATAAAAAATCGACACAATGTTTAAAAAATTGCTTTCACAAACGACGTTTCAATTGCTTATATGTATTTTAATACATTTAATTAATATTTTCTAGATTGCAGCAAACTCCGTTTCTCAAAAAAAATATGCAGTAACCTCATCCAACTTCAAAATCTTCCATCTTTTATTCTCATTTAATCGCAGTTGCAAGTTCCGCAGACTATATAACTATTTGCTCAATAAGACGGAAGATCCACGGGCTATTTTCGAAAAGAAAATTATTTTCTTATAAAGCAAATAAAAAGAGAACCAATAATCCCTTATGACCGTAGGAGTGTATTTCATTTAGTGTTTATGATATATTATTTTGTTGCGGACTTTATTCAGTCAATGTTTGTTTAGGATTTTAGCAAAGAAAGCTCTATAAAGTCGAGCCGGGACTGGACTGAAATATTTGCCTTTTCAACCAATATTAACACCTAATGCTTCCGGAGTTTACGGCAAAAATTCCGCATTGAAAAATTACGAGACGCGTAATATGTTCAATTAGTGAACTGCTAAACTGCTAGTGTTCCCACACTGAATGAGTGTTAATGTTTATTTATTTTCATTTAGCGCTGGATTTTGACACACACGTTCAATTAATCCAGAGGGCCGCAGATAGTTGCATCCATTTCCCAGTTAATAGAAGCTAATTTCAGGGATAGATAGGATAGTGACTTGAACGTGTCAAGCTAAAAAACTGGAAAGAAACCATGCGCTTAATATAAATTATTTAGTTTGTAGCAATAGTAAGAATCTCCGAAACGTTCTCTAGCTAACAGGAACGGTTCTATTTATCTAACAATACAACATGATTAAGGGATGTTTGTAATATGAATTTTGACCATCGACAAACAAACTAATGAACACAACAAAGTATGGGCACCTGAGATACCACCGAATGGTTTAAATGGTTATAACGATAAAGTGCACAGTTCAACGGGTGACGTAAACTCATTAGAAGCCCTCTGATTGAAGCATAGATTTTGCTTTAGTCCCCTAAACTGGCTATTTTATTATCCATTCACCATGCATGATTTAGGACAACGGTTGCACATATGATTTGGCTTTACTATTATGTTAATCAATCTAATAACATTGAAAATCCCTGCAGCATCCTGCGTTGTTAGCACAATGTAATTTAGTGGTTCACTTCAGTCTGCTTTTTCATTTACCTAAAGCAAGGGTTTTAGAAAACAAACCCAGTGGAAAGTGAATAAAAATTAACAATAAAATATCATTTATGCGATGGAAGCTGTGCAAATAGCAAGAACAGTTTGTTGAAGCCCGATTACAGAAAAATTCGCCTTGTTGAAAAGGTCTGTTTGGGAATAGGAAACAGAGGAAAGGTAATCTGAAAAATTGGTTTTGAAGTATTTGTCTTTAAGTTCCTTTGTGAAGGTTTATATGGTTAGATCGATGTACATATACGAGAACAGGCACAGATGGGGTTTCCAAAATCGCATTACTTGATAGATAAATGAATTGCTAGGATATGATTTATATGAGAGCAAATCTTCGTGATTTATAAATGTTTCTTCAAAGAATTCCTCCATAAAGACTGCGTATTTCGGACATAACATCCATTATTGTACTACTGTTGTCGCGAATAGTTACACATTAAATAGAAAACCTATAAATTAATGAAACATGAACAACTTTACAGCACCGATAGCCAACAAATATTTATCAAAATAATGTCGAATCATGCCATCATATGGCAAGTTAATGGGGGAATATTTAAGAGATTATATAATTACGTAGAAGCTATTACCATGATATATTTATTTGCTAAATAGAATTATGCAACAATTAAATTATTTTGTTTTATTGCTTAATTTATGAGTGGAGTTAAGCGTTGAACACCAGATACTTTCAAGCCCAATTTTGATGACAAAGCTAAAACCGCTTCAGACGCAACAGATAAGTTATACATATAGAATAAATGTTCCAAATACACCCTGATTATTCTATAGTGTGATGATATTAATAATAACCCAATATCCATAAATAAGCTGAATTGCCGTCCATTTCGCTCCACTTCACGTAGTTTGGGTTAGTTGAATTAAGTCAGTTTAGTGAATGTGTGAAACTCTTGAGCTTTAGAGTTCCATAAAGGACTTTCAGGAGTTGTATTGAAAATAATTTAACACTCAACAAAGTGCATTCGGTTTGGAAAATATACCTCATACACCTGGGGATTTATAACGTGCGGAAAATTTATAATGTTTCTAGATAATTAAAAGTTACAGTGGCTGTAAAAAATGCTCCTCGCATATTTAGTAACCACTAGATTTAACTATTTGTACGTTAAATATGGGGACGATTTTTTAAATGAACAGTCCAGCTGCCAGCCTCCAATAACTTTAACCACCTTTCTAAACGTATATTACAAATTTTACATTTTTCTGCTCAATTAACTCAGCAGCGTGAGGAATATTTTTTTATTTGACCGCCAATCGATCTATGGTTGAATATATTACCATTTTGGAATCCGCATTTATCGGTGATAGATTATTATAAAACGAGTTGAGGACGTTGGACGTTGGACAGTCTTCAAGCCTTATTGAAATATGGAAGCATAAAGGCTTGACATTTTGATAAGGACTCAAGGAAAAAATGTAACCAGTGCTGACAATTTCCTTTTCCATCAAGGACCTGCTTGTGATAAATTTTATGCCGGTTAACTATAGATTTTTCTACTTCTCTGGTATTATTTCAACATTTTCATCGACTCACCGCTTTTATTAGATTTAGATGAAGGGAAGGGTTGAGCATTATGTAAAGAAAACTCCTCAAGTAGAAATTGTATTAAACCCAAAACCTTTGTAAAGCGAAATTGCTTGTTTGGACATAACGGCAAAGTTTTAATGAAAAAATCCCGTCTGAAGCGATTAAATGCTATAAGGACTTGAAATCTTGTTCTACAAGTTTAGGAAAATATTAGCTATTGGTAGCGGAAAAAGTGCATCATGCTAAAAGTCATATCGTAAAGCACAAATCGCTTAGTACTCCCTGTTGGCAAATTAAACATCTCCGGTAAAATTTAGCGATTTCCGACTAGGGCCCTAAAATTGCTGGAGCTGAGCAAATCTTTGTTTTATTAGCTGTTGTGATAATATCGTTTATATTTATTAATTTAACGTTTTAAAGCCTGGATGACAGTGTTTGAATTTTAATAACCCTCGAAAGAAATCTAAGTCCGCTTGATATTCCAAACACGAAACTTGATCCGTTTTTATTAACTAAACTGAAGCTCTGAATCTCACAGTTATTCTGTTACTACAGACACTCAGTATTTTATTACTAACGGAAAATATTTAAAATTATATTACAAATATTCCATTCATGAACTCTGTTGCTGTACATTTGCAGGCACGAATATCTTGGCGACCTAATAAATATATCACACACGTCCTCCAGAGAAATCTGCAAGATGGAGTTTGGAATATACACTTGTAAAGTTTTGAGTAATGGTTATTATAAAAACGGCTGAAACAACTAACCCAAAATGCCCTTACCAGACTGTAAATTTATCAGCGTAGCACCGGGTACTGTTTTCTTTCTATCATCATTTGTTAGCGAAATTGGATAAGCCAATGGCACACAAGCATACTTTTCGAATTTTAGAACGGACGCAGAAACGGTAATTTTTTTCATTTTATTCGAGTCATTTTGGCAAATTTTCCTTTTCCGAATTTAGAAATAAATCACCCATTCTTGTTTTATCTGATCATTTGTAATAGATATTGATGACTGTTGATTAGACAGTGCTTGATAATTTTAGCCTGGACCACCCTCGATAAATCTACATTATTGAACTTTACATTATTTGAACTGCTCCCCTTTTCAACAAAGTATTAATTAGTTATAATAAAATCTGGGAAAAGCACGGACAGTTGTTGGGGTTTCTTGATTAGAAGAAGAGAAAGAGTTATCAAATCCGTCGTCAAAATAACATTAGAAAATTTTAATTGAGTTTCAAGGAAACCTCTATTAAAAAGGATTAAGGAAATGTAAACTTTTCTTTAATACAAATCTGGGATGAATTATCAAATTCAACCAAAGATTACTTTCTATTTACTGAAAATGTCTTAAACCCAGCAGGGCAAAATAGGAGTTGGAATTAACCTACTTCAAAGCAGCACATATAAGAGTTTGAAAATTACACTCACATGTACCAGTGTGCTTTAAAACTATGTTGATTTGGTTGGAAATTTGTTCTTAGTAGGTGTATTCATTCAATATATCGCCTTCTTACAATAATCGGAACATCGATTTTAGATCATTTCTTGTTCATGTTTTTCGCAATTAACTGCTTCAATATATTTTGAGTACATAACGTAGGTTTTCACTACCAATTTGAGTAAAATGTCTATTTATAATAAGCAGACTAAGTGAAGCAGGAGACTCGCTTCATCAGCAAAAAACGAAATTAAAATGTTCTTTTAAAACAGACAAATGTGGGAGAAAACCGCAATAAAAAGATCCAAATAGGTGTGAATAAAACGCTTCAATTTATACGGTTTGATTGGTCTGTAAACGATTTCAGCTCTTTGTGCAATACAGTAAAGTTCCTGCAGGGTTCGAAGCAGATTTTGGTCTGCAATGCACCAGAACTTTATAAAAAAAATCAATAACCAGAATTGTATTTGCTTCATTATCAGCAACTCGAAAAAAGCCAATTTGTTCGATTAATTACTGAAATGCCGAACAATTTCACTTTTTCATCAATCAAAACGGGTTGCAAGGATTTGAAGCAGTTCGATGCTATCTGAACCATGATTTGACATATACAGAGATTATGTAGCTCTTATAACCTTACAGGATGCAAGCAACTTTAAAATATCGCAAGATCCAATTGCCCTTAAGTTTGATAAAGAACCCTTAAACTTTTAGACGAGGATATTTGTTGTGAAAATATCGCCTGGATGAAAGTTGATCGTTGACTATTGCTTTTAAATTGAAATTTATGAAAGACTCTAAAATCCTGTCACAGCTTAGATGAGTTTTCATAGAAAGTTTACCACCGTAGTTTGTCTATACTGTTGTATGTATTTCTACGTGTACAGGTGAAGTAGGCAATAGGTACTAGAAAATGCCCTCAAGGATACTTTATTTCAAAAGAAATCCTGTGCCAATTACTTGTCCCAAAAATACTGGGGAATGCCCACATTTGTAACACAAAATTGACCACATTTTTATATTTATTGTCTGCAAAGCTCGCCCTCATGTATTGATGTCATCTAAAAAAGCTCCGGTTTATTTTTTCGTTTCGGTATTATATCCTATAATTGACACGCCAGTGCCTCAGACTATAAAGACCGTCTTTATAAATTTGACGTAATAAAATATGAAAGGTATATAATAAGGCTGTATATACTGGAATTGACTCGATGCTCACATAGGCTTAGAAGATATTAACTTCCCTAATTCTAGGGGATGTTATTTCTGATCCCTATTAGCAGAAATTCCTGTTCATCTTCACATTTTTTATAATAGCCATTAAGTGCCACGTGTACAATATAAAAGGGAGCTGTAATTTCGCGATGACAAAAGTGTGGGAATAATCGCTTTAGGATGAAGCGCGACGTTTTCCATTAGCCAAAATAGAAAAACTGGTACTTTTTATGGAACCCTGTATTCTGTAATGTCTTGTTGACGTAACATTTGCCAGAGCGAGGCGACCTTTTGCTTTATTTCCGCGAGAAGATAGACAAAGATTACTAAGCTGATGCATGAGGGCGCTGAAAAGAGCTTTTGTTATTAAGTATTTTATTAGAGCGAGTATAGCTGCACCTTGCACTTTGTAAAGGGACGACAATGCAGACGCCATTGAGGGGAAACAACAGCTGTTTCTTACGCGTTATAGCCCAAAGTGCAATATGAGGATAAAGCGTGACACCTAATCTGCTCTACGGCCTGAGATGCTCTTGGCTCAAGTCCAACACGTATCGTAAACAGTAAATCTTAAACATAATGTGGTTATTTAACTTTTCTACTGCTTAAAGTTGCATCCAAAGTAAGTTTAGATGCGAAGTTATGGCTTGTATACTTCCCGCTTAACAATTTTTCACTTTTTCTTAGAATGAAAACTGCAGCACATACCCCTTTTTATCCATGAAATGTTAAAATGGCTTAACCATATTCCTTTAAAAAGCACACTATTGAAACATTTTCTGCAGAACATTGCCTGCTCATTTATTTATCAATGAGAATTTTTAATAACACTTGCCTAATTCTGTACAATACGTTTTAATAATGTAGGGCAACTCAAGTTTCGGCTGTATTGTCCGCAAATGCTGAATATTTATGATATTGATGTTGACACATCAAAGTTTTCATTTGCAAATTCAAAGTTCAAAGAGAAAATATGGATCACCGAAATGAAATTTTCTCCAGATACTATTCCTAACATCACAGAATAATAAAGTGTAAAACCGCAATTGGCTCTATACGAAATCTTCAAATTTATGCTCCTTATCTCTCCGAAATTTTATGAATACAATTTGGTCTGCATTGCACGTATATATATTATATCAAATGACAGACGAAATAGCTAAAGTAATAAGGCGGGTTTCTTTGCGGAAAAATATACAGAAAATTGTGATTACTACACTAAACGATATTTCTTGGTAAAATTAAATTAAAGCAATTTACGGAATTGATGGCCAGTTTTCTTCTTGAAAAAGAACGCATTAATCAAATGAATTTCGCTTGCTTTAAATTGGCTCTGCATGAAAAGGAGTTGATCGTAAACTACATAGACGGTTCCAGAAAAGGTACATTTATTCGGTTTGATGCTGCAACTAAATGATTCTATTAAACGATGATAGTTACTTTAAATCAACTTCGACAAAAGATTTCGATCTCCAAACTGGGTCAATACGTTAGAATAATGCAATGCCAAACAAAAAGAAAAATATATAAAAATGAATTTGAGAATGTGATCAAAAACCCACCTTGTACGTTCCCAGATTCTTCACTACACATGGCAGGCTGGCATCTCTTCCCAACGCTACAGTGACATTGGGAATCGGCTCTACAAATTCTGGAGGAACCGTTAAAGCTAGAACAGAAATAATTCAATTAATACTCACAGTCCTTAAATATTACATTTACAATCAGATCTTAAAAATGCAATCCCTTTCAGCGGTAGGAAATAACCAAAGAGTGGATAACACCAAACAATACCCTAACTTAAAATTGAATAAGTAAGTAAATCAATTGTTCTAAGGCAAAACAAATTTCAGACGGATGGGTAGCAGGAGTTTTATAATAACCTCGTTACGCCATTTTCTGTTTTTACTCTCCGAGTTTATTTTTCCTCGTCAATTATTTTGTCAAATAGAGTCTATCTGTCCCCGTGATTACCATGTGCGGTAATTTTAATGACTGTCATTATTGCCTTCCCTCGACTTAATTAATTATCACAAATCATGACGAATGGAAGAAATTTGCCCTCAGCCGTGAAAAGCAGACTGACGAATGACCTGCAATAAAATTGTGCTTTTATCTTTTCGCACTCCACATTTGAAGCTGCAGCTAGGCAGTGTCGAGTTGCTAATGAATCAATTAATATGTATTCAGTCTTAATTACTTCAGTTGCTTTTAAGGCAACCAGATGAAATTGGATTTCATTGTTACGAAGTGGAACTCCCACGTTATTTTATTAAATTAAAGAGTGTCTTCGTTTATTGTTCACAATCTTTATTTGCACAGCAAGTTAGAAAACGGCCATAGTAGCCGGCACAAATGTGCTCCCATATGGAGAAATATCAAGGAATTAACGTAAGTTGCATAATTTTGTAATGGAGGGATTTATCAAAAATGTAATTAAAAGAGAATTGGATAAACCCGATAACGTAGTAAAGAAAAATAAATAAAAGATGCCCGAAAATGCCTTGCATTCCATCTATATTAATTGATTTATTATTATCCCAATATCGGTAGATTCAACTCCCAAGGTTGGAAAAAGGAAAATAAACCACAATTTTATTGCCGGTCATATATCAGTCTGAAGTTCTCACCTGAGAGATAATTGGGCACGTCCAGCCGATTTTATGGTAATAATTAATACGGCGAACATTCCACATCAATATTTTTCATGCAGCATTCAATTATTTTCCTGAACATGTAAATTGGATGTTCAATGGAAACTCTACATCTAGTTCTATAGCAACGCATGCTGTAAAAGTTTGGGAAATTGTGAAAACACAATTGAACGATTAATCTGATTCAGTGAGCGAAATCTACTGAGTTGCGAAATCTGCAACGGTCGAATAGTTTTGATGTTAACCCGGTAGAAGGAAACCTAGTAATAGTAATTAGGTTATTCCTAATACGCTGAGCTGTGAGCACATTTGCTCTTAATAAAGTGTTTATTCTGCAGGCCCCGATAACGACATGGCTCGGTTTGACGCCTATAACAGCCTCGTACTGCGCGTATTATTATACGCATTAATGTTAATGGCACTCATTATTACCGCCCCAGAGGTTTATTAATTACCACAAATCGTGACGAATAGACCAAATTTTCTCTCAGGCGAGAAAAGCAGACTGACAAATAGGCGGCAATAAAATTGCGCTTTTTTTCTTTTCGCACTCTGGATTCGGGGGTAGAGCTACCGGTATCGGGTTTATTCATAAATCAATTAATATCCACTCGCTCTTAATTTAGCTAATTCTCTTTTCAAAAAAAGGATTCGTTTATTTCAATTTTAAGAAAAGGTCCTTCTAAACTTTGGATTGATGGGGTTCGTATTGAAACGCTTTATCAAACATTTCAGTTAGAGCCACTTAGGAATATCCAACATTTAAATGCGTTTTATTATTTGGACTTTCCAACCAAAAGCACGAGCTAAAACGCGAAACTTACTACAGATACTATAAAGTCAATTTGCAACAGCAAGGCGCAACAGGGAACATTCACCTGACATAACTTAACACTGCTAGAGGTGTAAAAAGCTAACAACTCTAGACATCTCATACAAAATAGCTGAAGAGTTCGGCTCTTTGTGTTATTTGAAGTTTTTGAGTTTCCAGAAGAGTAATGCGACTTTATTATTCAAGTTTATAGCGGAACTTAAGTTTCGATGTCTTTTTAATTTTGCAGGTGGTTTCTTTCAATGCGTGCAGCTGGTAATGGAGCCTGTTAAAATCCGATCAGCACATTATTTTCAGATAATAAAAGTATCGCTTTAGAACAAACAACACATTTGTGAAATAAGAAAGTGTTTTCTCCTCGCATCAGCGTCAGTATAAAATACATCATATCAGTCGGAACTATTAATTTCCAGTTCAATAATGGAAAATACCACAATAGCCGCAAAACTTACTGCCACCTACCAACTTTATTTCAATGCACATCAGACACAAATTTCCATAGGTTCTCATTTAAATCTGATGTGCGTGTAAACAGAAATGTTGCTATTTGCTTTACTATTTTGCACATCATGCAAACAGCCGTAATATAAAGTTCAATTATGAGTGTTGTACTTCGCTGGCTTGTTTAACTTTTGGACAGGTGTTTTGTGAAACTGTTTTCGAAAGCGATGTTCTAAAGCATACTAGACAATAGCATTAGTCAGAGCTGTATTCGGAAAAACCAGCTGAAGCTCTGTTACTGATTTAAGTTCGAAGCTGGTTGCCAAGTATTTATAGTTTAATAAATGTCTACGAATTAAATTACTAGCGAAGTTACAGGAAGCAGTGGGGGCTTTTTTAGCTTTAAAGCTTTCATTGTTTTTCAGCTTCCATTCAGGGTCCTGATACACACAAAAGTAAAATGAACGTTTCCAGATTAATAGTTTTGATTGCCTATTGAGGCCCGAATACATAATATGTTCTAATTGTAACTAATAATTTAATTAAATAGCCACAGTTTATGCTGGCAAGTTTTCCAGATTCAAAATAGTGCTCCCCATGGGAAAAGGGCCCAAAAAGCAGATGTCGATTGAGTATGGATTCTCGATTAAATTTTTAATCGAGTACGTGAGGTAATTCATTGGATATTCCCTTCTGATTAAAGTAGGAACCCTCTTAAGTGAAATTGGAGGAAATAAGTAATCATTCTGTGTAAAACTAAAGTTGTAATCTGATTATTAAATGAAAAGGAATTTTCCATAAAACTTTTCTTCTTTGCAAACATTCCGCCTTGTCGTTGAATAACGAGGCCACCCTCATGAGCTCCAATCGTAATGAGGAACTGAGTTTGGTTTTGTTTCTCTGGAATTATTAGCGTATAATGTTACTGTGTGCCAATTATTTTTATTTAATTTACCTACAAACCAGCCCGATATGGAGTGTGCAGCAAAACAACTTGAGACCTCAATTAAATGTCTGTGGGCAAAAGTTGGTTGATTATATAAATAATTCGCGACTTATCTCGGGCATGGATCCATTCAAAGCGATTCTTAAATCGTGCTAAGAAAAGTCAAAAAACCACTAGTTTTCATCTAGGTGTCATCAATGTCTACATCAATGGATAAAACATGTGCCGTCTCTTATGAGTAGGGCGTAAATCTCCACCGAAAACATCAAATTTCAGCAAGTAGTTAAGTAATCTTAATATGCAAAGTGGCAAATATTTTGGCGAACTGGTTTGCATGCGGCGTATTACAAAATAAACACCTTTAGCGGAAAAGACATGGAGCAACAACATTTACTTTCATTCTGTTGCATGCTGTAAATTGAATTTATTATGCTGGAAATGTTGGACAAGCAAGTTTCGCACTAACATTTTATACGAAAATTAAAAACATAAAAGAATTTTTCGCTTCCAAACGGAGCAAATTAAAATGACGCAAATTACCAGCCATGAAACCAGATATAGTTTTATTTTCTCACGATTAATTAATTTTGTTGTAAAATTTTATGAAACAGGGGTAACGTTAAATCGACTGCTTTTTCTATGCTGCTTGGAGAATATTGTTATTAATGCTAATTATTGTTTTTGTAGTTATACACCGATACAATTAGTTCAACTTACTAAAATATATAAATTATATCTGGTATTAAAATGCTAACGTTGCATTTAATTAACGGCAAATTAAATATCGTAATTGAATTGGCGAACAGTAAATAATATTAAAACCGATGTACAAAATGGTTACAAACCTTACAATGCTTTTAAATATCAGAACAAGTGGGCTGGAAATTAAATCTCATTCAAACTCTTGCATCGTAAATAAATCATTTTCCTATATTTCACGTAGACAGGTATAATAAGTTCGGCAGTAAGCGTGAAGTGAAAAACACATTTCCCAAACGAGTAATTGATTAAGCTTGTAAAGAAACATTATAATCAGCCATTTTAGTGCAAAACAGCCGCGGGGCTTATAAATCTGCCGATCCTTGGAATTCGCATTTTATATTAAAGCGCAATTTGTCAAGATTAAACTATATTTTAGAATATTCACTTAAAGCAATGTAATTTATTTAGTTATGGTGTGATGTTTGTCTAATGTTCATTACAAATTTTGATATTTTAACAGATTTCTCGGGTCGTACTCAGAATTAGTTTAAGAGACATTCTTTCAGTGGTCAGAATATTTGTCTAGTTCGAGAACGAAATTCATTGTAAAGTTGCTGCATTACTGCTAGATGTATTAGTTTTTCTAATAGTTAATATAGTTAATTAAACCAGCTTAGATGCTAAATATCACCCCATGGATTTAAAATTTAAAAAATGTCAATACTTTCGTAAAAACCCGCATCATTCATATCTATTCAAAACATTTAAATTTTGGGTGAAACCATTTACTTGAAGCATTAGTTTTTAGACTACTACGAGTAAGTTCTTTACAGAACAGTTAATGGTAATAAAATATATTTTGCTCTTAACCGTAAACTAAATTATAATGATAAGCTGAATGAGTAAACAGTGTGATATCAAGAATTTCATCACTAACTAGGTTGTTTCTCCAAAGCGCAAAACTATTACGCGAATCCCCTTTTCTACACTGAAAGCAGTAAACCAACCAGAATCGTTCCAGAAAGGCGTTTGTTCTTAATTTTCTCAACTCGTTCGGGAAACACGGTAGTTTTATTTGTACAACTCTAATAAGA